CATCATTGTTATTGATGTATTGCTGAATATGTCATTGGTTCCTATCCATAACAATAATGGTATTTCACTGTTGAAATATGGATTTGTGATTTTGATTTGTTTCTTTAATTGTCCAATTGTTGCGCCTGAAATTCCCATACTGTATTCTAATTTTAATTTACTACCTTCTCGGTTAACAAAATATTCCAGACGTTTAGTCAGTGAATCGCCGAGTATTTGAATTTGTATCATATTACGGTATCAAGGTGGTCGAAAGAGTGTAGCAGGGTAATGGCATGTCGGTATGTCGGAATTCTTTTGTTTGGTTGTAGTGTCGGGCCTGCATGTTCAAGGTCGCTGCGAGTGAATGAAACTTTGTGAACTGTAAAATATAAAACCGTAATGCATTTTATGTCTGACATCTATTGCTGTACTGATTGTTGTGTTATTGTTGTACTAAATTACATGAAATTTTATGTAAGATAATAATTTGTTAATGTGAACAATGAATTGACTCTGTGGTTTTGGCTCGATTCAGAAGGAATCAACACTGTCAATTAACGGCCTAAATTGACTGAAATGTTGCGAAGTGACGATTTACTCAAGCAAATGTTGTTAACAGGCTCTTGGCTTTCTTTTGATTATGTAGTACATTTTTTTTACATTTATTATTATTATATATTTTTTTTTTTACGTTTTAAATGTTTTTCTGTTTTTATATTTATTTTATATATTTATTTGTATTTTTGTTTAAGATGAGCCTGTAATAACTGTGTGTAATGTATATTTAAATCGTGTATGTTTGCTTGGAAATAACAAATCTGGCCTTAAATCGTCGCTTTATCTTTGAACTTCTGTTATCTAACATTCCAGTTCTGTTCTAAGTCTGTCTGGCCTATTAATGACATGGACTCTCAACTTTCACTAGCCCACCTCAAATATCAAAACTTTGCTGAACAACTTAAATTCTAAACACAACTTAAATTAAGGTGATGAGTTACAACTAAAATATGTCAGACTACGCTTTAAAATACTATTTTAATCATTAATTAATTCACTGCAGTACCCTTTCGGCTGTAAAAATTATGAAATAAAAATTTTTGGGGATACTTATGACTTTTTGGGGTTGGGGAGGTGACATACAAATGAATTTAAAATTCCCCCCAATTTTGAATTTTGATTTTTTGGTCGTGGCCTGTAAACTATACTGATGTGCACTTTGACTCCTAATATTTTGCTTTCGGTAATAAAAATATTCATCAAACACTCATTCGGCCTGTCGTCGAGGTATATTTAGTTTAATTACTGCCTTTCAGACTTGATGTCGAACTCGTGAGTGATTACATAAATGCATTTAAACATATTTATCAACTTGGTTTGGTAAAATATTAATAAAAAACATCAAGGTTCTCCTAATTCTACTTTGAAATTAAAACATTCTCATTAAAATTGATTTTTAAATTTTCCTTGGAAATAAAATAAATTGAATGATATTGATTCACATTTCATGACGTGCCTAGCTATGCATGCTCGTGCGTTCCAGGCCGCCACGTGGTGCCGACCTGTAACCTGTCGATTTCCTGTCTGAACAAAGCACCTGGCTGGTCTGAGACACGTTTTAATCTATTCTATTTCTGTTAAAATTGCATTTTTGGCCGGATCTTGACGCTCTGCTACCACTATGTGATGATATGGTGTAGTATGAGTGTGAATGAAGATACCTGGGTCCTATATATCTTCCTCCAACCACTGCCAAATCACGCACATTTCCTGTCGTAACCTAACTCAATTGCAACGAATTAATCTAACTCGTCAAAGTGCACAATATTACCTTAGCTGCCTATCACAGCCAGCTTTTATGTTCTTAATGTATCTAATTATAATATAATGAACAGAGAAATATATATATATGGACTTATTCTAATTCGTGAAAAAGGTTACTAGACTTAGCAAATGTGAATTCTAATTTACGATATTAATTGCCAGACCACGACCCTTCGAGAACCTAATAAACTACATGATTGAATTACTTTTTGCCCCAACCTACACCCTTTCCCCAACCCCTACTTCTATTAGCTAGACATCTTAGGCTACAGTCTACTTATCCGATCAGATGTACAGCTCCAGGCGCTCGACACTACACTGAACTCGTCTCTTGGTTCGCTGCGCGTGCCTACCCGGGTCGACTGCGCGCGCATCGTGGTCACGTGACTTGCGCTATTGTAGCGGTCCGCTACACTATACTAAGGTATTGTTTTAACATAAATTTGACGAGAAAGTCAACGTAGCTATTGCTGTATGTCAGTTTTTTGCAAAATGCTGGACTAAATAGAAAGAAAACACTGGGTTCACCCAATCAATCTGTTAATAGACAGCTTTCCTCTCAGAAATTAAATCAGAACTAGGAAAATTTTACAATTATTGTCGAATAATTGCTATACTATTTTATAGGAAGGGACATTAAGTCAAACTCAATTCCCTTTGTTTACAACTGAACATCTGGAGTCTGGACGTAGTTTGAAATAGTTTTTAAGGGTAACCGCAGACTGCAGGACTTATTACTTCCAGAGCAAAGCCGGAATTTATATTTTTATTTAAACATCTGTTAAATAAGACTGGTTCACAAATTGCTTTCTAGCAAGACTTGACAACAAATCGTTTGTAATCCCGCCCAGTAATAATCACTGTGGTGACGCATCCAACCTCGGACAAATGTACGTTAAATGTTTACATTGTGGTGGCTTACATTTTAAGCAAACAGTGCTATGAGGCTCAGATATAGAAATTATTTGGATAGAATTAATCAATCCGATTTCGCCTTTGCCGTGGTCAACTCTGAAGCTCATTTAGATGAAAGGACCACACAGGGGATATACAATTTTAAGATCCATGACACGTTTTATCTCCGAGTAGGTAAACTATATTCTTAAGAAGGTCATGATCCTGAACACGCAAAGATGTATAAGAACATCGTGGCACTGAAATCCAACAGCGCATAAAACAATTCAAACAAAAAATGCAATGAAAAAATATGCGGGAAATAGGGTCACATTGCCAACCCATTTGCCCAATCTTTAAAACTGCGGCAGAAATGTGTAGGGACGAGAGCTCCGAGGAGTCAAGTGAGATTCTTATGTGCATAGTAAGAGACAAAAGAAGTGACTTCCCTTGCTACGATGATGCTACCTCTATAAATGTCACAATTTTGAAAGCTGAAAACAGGGCACCACCTGGCAAATAAATCTTAGTTTTTTTTTAAAACCTAACACTGTTACACGTGAATTCGTTCTAGATCCGTCATTACTCATTATACCCACTTGCTTGCCCTCTTATGTTCCCAACACGAGACATTGGTTGGGGCCCCTAATTCAAACACGCCTAAAACAGAACATATTGTATGAATAATATAAAAATGCCAAAAACGTGTCGTACTGGTTGGCGTCAAGAGAGGGATTTAGCTTGCTACATTAGGTCTGAAAAGCTCACTTTACAGTGTGTGGTTAACATCTACCTTCTCATAGAGGGCACCCGCCTACTGCACATAAGAGATAACGAAAGCAGTATGAAAGCAGACCCATATTTAAATATTGCGTAGATTACTATTTTTTTACAACATAATATTTTTCATATTTCTATAATCAGTTTTAGAAATACCTTAAGAGTGACTCTTTGACTGAGGTCTTGCTGTTTATGTTGTTGTTGTTTATACTTTTATTCGTAGTTTATTCGTAAAATAGAAGTTGCAGTTTTGTTTAATTTTGAGCAACCAGATTATCTAGTACAGTATTATGTAAAAGTATCAGGCTTTTCTATTATTGTAGTAAACCAACAAAAGACAAACTAGACATAGCTGGTAGAAAAAAAAACTTATTTAAGCCACAAGCACACTTTATAGGAAACATTGATTAATCGTTCTTCTGCCTCATTGTTGCCGACACCATCACAAAGCCACGGGGATCTGTCTTTGCCTCGACTGTTTGTAAAATGACATCGTCAGGCAGTCTGTGTCTCCTTACAAAGTTGTAAAGTTTGCGTACTCCGCTCTCTTTGTCCTTATCCATCACTGTACCTCTCACTACGATGTCTCGCTTCTCCAGACTCACGTCACACTCACGACTGACACCACTGCAGATGTCCAGCCTGTAAGTATACTTACGATCCGTCACCACCTTCATATCACTAGGCTTTGGATACCACCCTGGTAGATGTGCTTGTGCCACAGTACCAACTGTAGGTAACTTAATTGTGGCATTTTTCAAGATTGTTTTAGCGATGTTTCCGATCATGTTAATGGCTGTTGAAATGTTCAAACTTGAATTTGGACATGTGATATTGGCAAGTTTTGAGTATTGTTGCTTAGCAACAGGAATTGTAATGTTTTACTTTAACCTTTAATCTCTAGGTTGAAGCTATGTGCCTAAAAAACTCAATTTTTTAGGTGGTGCCTTTTGAATTACTTTACAATTGATTATACCAAACAATAGGTTAAATATCTTATTTCCAAAGTAATTCTCAGCTTTGGTAATCCAAAATATCTATGGATTACTTTGGCAATCAGGTTTGTTATCAGTGGTGTAAAAGTGATATTTCCACTCTGCTTTATCAAGTCCTATATGTTAATAGACAACCCATGTTTCATCCTAGTTGAATTTACGACTAAACACCAGTACTTAGTATTATAAAAGACTAATGACGAAAAGAGGATTATTATGTACAAGGATAGGGATCAGCTAGCTTACCTGGTGGATAGAGTCCAGATTAGCCTTGATTACACATAAAACACATGACACAACACAGAAAACTTAATATTTCGTCCCAGTTAGGGACTTCAATGTGTAATCAAGGCTAATCTGGACTCTATCCACCAGGTAAGCTAGCTGATCCCTATCCTTGTACATAATAATCCTAATCAGCCAATTGGCCTTTCCTTAACTCCTAATGACGAAAAGAATTATTTATACCCCCAAGAGTCCTACATTTAAACATTAGACAAACATCCTACCCTCTGAAGACAAACTTACCATCATCGGTATCATTTGCACTGATGATCCTGGACTGGTGAAGCATCATCAGGTGTTCTCTGTGCTTGTGCTGTTATCAAAACGATATTATATTAGATCTAGCAATCTTGCAAACACAAACATTTAAATTATTCTGGTTGCCTTATTGTGTTGACTAGAGGTCGTCCGTCCAGTGGTCGAAAACTCAACCAAAAATATATAATGTACAGACTTCGGCTATTTGCACATACACCGATTTTGGACAGTCGGTAAAAAGTCTGTCGATATTTTATTGGTGTATGGTGCTTGCAGACATACCGGATTTTTATCGGCGAAACGATCAGTTGCTTTATTGTTGTGTCGAGGACGAGACAAGATTATTGAATAAGAATCCTAAAAGAGGTTTTGCTATGTATGGTTATTGTATCGACGTACTATAGCACCGTAGGATTAAACGTAAGTCCTGGATTCATCCAATTAATCAAAGCAGAGAAAACACGGGAACATTCTACACACTTTTTGAAGAACTAAGGCCTGATAGCAGTAAGTTTTTAAAATATTTGAGAATGTCAATAGCATCCTTTGACGAACTCCACGATAAGTTGAAAAATTAAATCCAACATCAGAATACTAAAAATAGTAGCAGAGCAGTCGTCTGGAATGGAGGATGGTGAAGAACTGCAGAGACGGTCGGAAAACAATCGGCGCGTGTGCAAGCTTGTATTTAGTATGAACTATTTCACAGTAACAAATTTTAAGGGTGGAAAAATAATCTTACACAATGATATCTTGCGGTCTTGACGTTACCGCTGATTGTTTCTCGACATCACGGCAACATCAGTGATCAGCATTTTGGTTTATCAACGTTTCGAATGACTGGGCCTCGGAAAGTCGGAGCTCCACTGTAGATTGGATGTATATCTCAGTATTCAAAGTCAATGATACAATTAAATTATTAAAATTAGCAACTAGGTATCATTAGTGTTCAATACAATAGCATTATTCCTTACACCTTCACATTCCAATGGGCATTTTCATACACATGTGTAATTGGCCACAAACCTCGAGTTCCTCCAACTGCATCCGCAGCTGATTGCGCTCCGTGGTGACACTCTCCAGCGTCGTCTGCTTCTGTATCAGTGTCTTGGTGAGGCTGGACAGCCGCACCTCCAGTTCGCCAGGTAGCAGGTGTGGTGCCGGCGGTCGTGGTGCACCAGCCAGCTGACTGTGTAGCTGCGCCAGCTCTGCTTCCTTCTCACGCAGCCGTGCGGTCAGCTGACCTCGCTGTGCACTGTACTCCTCCCGCACCAAGCGCAGCTCCTGCAAAATAATATACTGTCTATTTGTTTTAAGTTATTTTTGGTAAGTTTATGATATTCAACAGAGTATTGCAGACATTTCTCATCTCAATTAGTAAAAAAACAAAGTTTCACGAGGATTTGGAATCTGATCCTGTCTTTAGTTGTAAAAATAAAATATCAAAAACATAACAAAATTAGCACAATATTACAACAGTAGTACAATAGGTGGGTTAGTAATTCTGGATTTGCGTGGTAATATTTTTATGTTTCATGTACTTGCTTACCTAAAGTCGGGATCAGATTCTAGATCCCAAAAATTGTGAAAGCTTAGTTATTTAGTAATCATGATGGGAAATATCCGCATTAATTTCTTAAATAACAAGTGTTTCAATGAATTATTTTTGTTTATTATGATTTATACACACAATAAACAAATCTAATAATATATATTTTTTTAACACAACTGTCAGTGAAATATACAAGAGCTCTCCAGAACAAAATATAAAAAAAAAAAATTAAGGTGGTGACAAAGATTTTCTGTGTACATTTTAATGGTAGATTGTCCTTTTCTTCTCTTGTCTACATAGTCAAGATATTATAAGATATTATTAAGTCTACAGAGTATAATATACAGTTGTTTAAAGTTTTTTAATCCCACTAGTCAAGGATTCAACAGCCGACAATTTGGACCACTAGTTAATCCTGTAAAAATTCATCAAAACTTCAGATGTGTGGTTTTACGTCTAAATTTACAAGAACTAAATAAAAATTGAATTTTGAAATTGTGGATCTACAATTCATAGTTTTCTTTACTTTTGACCAAGTATTCAATATTATCACAAGACTGGGCTGCAACTAACTAGAATGACAGTATTTAAACATACTAACTGTTTACTGACAATACACTTTCAATTTAATTTTAAAAAACATAACCTCATCTGATGTATTCAACCAGCCACTATGAACCAATATGAGGAAACAACGATTGTTGCAAAATAGGCACAGATTTAAGTTATATAAATAAAACCAAACATCATTTGCTAGTAAGATTTTTCCATTTTTTCAACGACCCAACAATATTTAAAGATTTCTTAGTAAACAAATTCATCCTCTAGAAGAATCTTTCTTCATCATTCAGAACCAATAAAAAATAAACAATTTATTACAGGCTCACATGTGAATTATGTATTTGTTCACTTGTTGTACATTATTCCTTATTCCTTATCACTACATTACTTATGATTGCAGAAATGGTAAAATCAATTTGCATAGTAAACGTCTGACCTGTGTCTGTATGCGAAAGTCGTCCTCGATGATGTTTCTCTTCTGCAGCTCGCGTGCCAGTCTGTCCTGCAGCTCCTGCTGTGTGCGTGCTGCATTCTCCCTCACTGCGTCCAGAGTGTGTTCCACCTCCACCAGCCTCCGACGGACCGTTTCCAGCTGACCTACGGTCTCCTGGTGTTCATCCATCAGCATCTGCTTCTCTTCTCTTAAAGAGAAACGTGTTTATTTAATACCATTTTCTCTCTCACAACAAATAATATCTACATGCATTTTTTCTATGTGTGGATTCTTTCCTTTGTTAAGCTTGATGCTTTTATGTCTGCTGAATAACTTGTACCCTTGAGGATAAATGCACAAGAGGTGGCATGCAATGTGATAGAATATTACTCTTTATATTTTTCTTCTAAAAGTTTCCAATGAGAAGAGCGTACAATCATGTTGGAAAGCCATAATAGCCTACAACAATAGAAAGGAACAGTTTGACCTTTGTAGTACAACTACTGATGGCGGAGAAGGGGTCGGTGTTATATAATTGCAGCAAGTCCAGTCTGCCTCCGTATCGCGACCAGTTAATAGTAGGCCTACTTAAAATTATAAATGTTTTTTGTGCGTTATGTCTTTGAGTATCTATTTAAATGTTTCTTGACGACTCTATCATGGATTAAATATTCTTGCTAGGAAATCACCAGATGATGCCTGTATAGGCGAAACATGTTGTGAGTTGTACTTACTCAGGGTGTATACTATTTTATTAAAGTGAAATTCCAGGTTTTTTCCAGGTTTTTCCTGGTTTTTCAAAGTTTTTCCAGGTTCCCGAGTATTTCTTTGGTTCCACTTAAACTACAATCAATTTAAGACTTGCAGCTTAAGTATTCAATATAAACTTACATCAAATTTGTTTCAAAGTCCATAGTGAGCTAGTGTTGAAAAAGTAATAATCCTTATTATAGTAATCATTTTCATTATCATCATTACTTAAGGCCACGGAAACATCTTATCTCTCGATAGCAGCAAAATCCTGAATATTATCTTAATTTTTTATGAACACATTATCAACGGTGGCAAAATCCTGAATATTTCCTGCGGTCGTGTGGTCGCTTCCCACAGTGACGTAAACGTCATCACAGTCTTACGTTATCATGGAAAAATCCTGGACATCTCCCGCGGTATGTATACATTATCGCCGTCTCTCGCGATCACGGAAACGTAATCATCGTCATCCACGATCGCGGCTAAATCATGAACATCTGCGGCCGTGTAGACATAATCATAGCCTCCCGCAGTCACGGAAACGTCATATTCGTCGTCGTCCGCAATCTCGGCAAAATCATGAATATTTCCCGCGGCAGTGTAAACATCATCGTTGATCCCGCGGTCACGTAAACGTCATCGTCGTCGTCCGCGATCGCGGCTAAATCATGAACATCTGCGGCCTTGTAGACATAATCATAGCCTCCCGCAGTCACGGAAACGTCATATTCGTCGTCGTCCGCAATCTCGGCAAAATCATGAATATTTCCCGTGGCCGTGTCTACATCATCGTCGTCTCCCGCGGTCGCGGAAACGTCAACGTCGTTTCCCGCGGTCACGGAAACGTCATCGTCGTCGGCCGCAATCACGGCAAAAACATGAGCATATCACGCGGCCGTGTAGAAATTATCATCGTCGTCTTTCGCGGTCACGGAAACTTCATCGTCGTCTCCCGCGGTCACAGAAACGTCATCGTCGTCTCCCGCGGTCACGGAAACGTCATCGTCGTCTCCCGCGGTCACGGAAACGTCATCGTCGTCGCCCGCAATCGCGGCAAGACGCATTTTACGACTACAATCTTCTACCGGGGCTAAAATAAAAATCCCGGAATCGGACCAAAAATCCCGGCTTTTTCCCGGTTTTTTCCAGGTCCCTTCAAATTCAAGGTTATTTCCCGGTTCTCCCGGTTTTCCCGGTTGGTATACACCCTGTTACTACAACGTTTACACTGTCGACATAAAGGTATGTACCTTATATTTGTCTATTAAACAGTTCAGGGGCTACTTCATAAATTATAAGATAAATTATAGTAAACTATGCTGAACCGGTAAATGGTAATGATCCAGTATTCTGTTACTGAACTACTTAACACTCTCACTACAATACAAATAGAAATTTTCAGCATGTGGTCTTAGCCTAGTGGCGTCTCAAACTTTGGTGAGGGAGGGACAAGTTTGATTCCTGGCACATCCACAAAAACCATAAGGTTTCAATCACTTTCCCTTAAAAATAGTTAAATATATTTCTTACAAAATGCTATACACATGGACATTAGCACAAAAACCATTGGTACAGTGCAATCTCAATAGGCCAACATTTGTTAGACCGTCACGTTTGGTAATTTGACAGCCATAGCTGCCAAAGCTGCTTTTAAGGTAAAAAGACTACTTTCAAGGGTACCTACTCTCGGTATCCATAATATTTGATAATCTGACAAGGGCTCGGCCCCATATCTGTCGGATTGTCAAGTGTATACCGTAAATAAGTATTCTGTTCAGAGCCACTACCTGAGTTGAGCCAGCTCAGTCTGGAAGCTAGTCTCCACTGAGCTGTCGGAGTTGTTGGCTCTTAGTTGGTTGATGATTGTCTCCTTATCACTAAGTGTTCGCTGAGCTCGTGTCCTCAACTGGTCCAGTTCTGATCGAAGCTCAGTCACCCTCTGATTCAGAGAGTCCACCTCTAGCTGATGCTGGTGTCGGACTGAGTCTAGAGCTACATATTCTTGTTCTTTGCTTTCAAGCCTGTGTGGAAAATAGAACAATGTAGTTAATTTCAAGTGGACACTACTAGGCTAGTGTAATTTACTGTCCAATATTATTTCCGCACAATAAAACAATAGACCTTGATTACTAAATTAAATTATTTAGGCTACAGTTTTAGGTAAATGCATAGAATGTAGTCTTATGACTGGGGAGCAAGCTGGTCAATTGGTAGAGCGCGGGACTTCGGTCCCTGAGGTCTGGGGTTCAAATACTGCCAAATTACCAATGGATTTGATCCAAGTGATAATGCCAAAACACCTAGGTCTAGCCTGGAGTAATGTGAAAAACAATTCCGGGCTCGCGCCTAGCGTCCTAGGACAAAAAAAGGAGTATTGATGACCCGAGCATTTAATTTAAGACACCAATGTAAGACTGACAATATAACCCACCTCTGTGTTAGTTCTTCTTCTCTTTCTTTGAGATTCTTGATTTGCTTCTGAAGTTCCAAGATTTGATCATTTTTGGCTGTCTGAGCAGTGGCAGAATCATCTAGTCTGGAATAAAAGTTTGTTTAAAACTTGATCGATCAACTAACTCCATAGAAATAATATAAAGTTTAGATACCTCTGTCCGTCTTCAGTGTTAAAAAATAGTCCGGGGATGACTAGTTTCGGGTCAAAGACCCATTATCAAATCTGCATAAAATTGAATAGTCTATAATCTGACGGAATCTTTCCATTGTGTCCGCCGTACAATCTGTTGTCCCACGTGAATGAATGTGGACAGCCTACAGCTTTTAAATGTACGGTAGATATATAAATGTACTAGTATCTGTGTGTAAGTAAATATAAACTTTATGTGTTGACTTGTATGTACTTTTTGATGAAGACTTCTGTTGGATTATAGACTATTCAATTTGATGTGGATTTTATAATGGGTCTTTGATTCGAAACTAGTCATCCCCGGACTATTTTTTAACACTGAAGACGGACAGAGGTAGGCTATGTAACCATATTATTTCGTACAATCAGTCTTGGTGGCAAGAATGTTTAAAATAACTCCATAGAGTTATTTTAAAGGAGGTGGCTTGAGAGAGCAGCAAGGCAAGTCTAGTGTAGTTTGTGCTCCTGATTTTTTGCTAATTTTATGAGTAAATACTGCAATTTTATACATAATTTTTACTGTAATTTGTTTACTTTCAACTAGTGAATGTTATCTTGACTTTTATTTATCAAAGTGGAAAAGAATTAAACAGCTAGGTAAGAAAATGTAATTAAAAATCCTGAAAATATTTCAAATAACAGTGCAGAGAAGGGTCTGTTATCAGATCAGATAAGGAGGGTCAGATTGACTGGACTCTGCTGGGGGTCCTTATCTTATCTCTTATAACTCAGTTCAAGGATTCATATTATGCTGAAGTTTGTTTATGTTTATTTTTAACTAAATCCATTTTACTCTACAATAATTACAATATTTGTAATTATTCTCGGCTATTTGTAAATAATGTTTTCAATTAATGACAAGATTTTTGCAAAAATTAAAGGACATCAGCCATGGCCTGCTCTTGTAACCAAGGTAGACAAAGATAAATATCATGTAACATTTTTTGGCACGGGGCAGACTGGCACCTGCAAGAGGATGGATATGTTTGATTTTTCTATGTATGTAGAAGATGTTTTACCTACAAAGAGAGTGACTAGTAAATTGAGACAAGCTATAGATGAAGCTGATTCATTTAAAATAACAGCTGAGGAGTTTATTTATGATCCAGAAACACATAATGAACCTGAGCATGAAACTAGTTTATTAGAATTGAATGAGATTAACTATCAACTCATGTTTGAGAAAAGTAAGATGGAAAAATCCCTGAGGTTAGCTGAGGAGGAGTCTGAGGAATTGTGCTCTAAATATAGGAAGGAAATCGATGATCTTGAGACTAGGATTTCTCAATTAAATAATCAGATTAAAATCAAAGACAATTTAATTACTGGGCTGGAAGGTAATATTAAGCAAATGCAAACAGACAAAGAAACCAAACCCACAACATCCACTGGGACACAGACTAAATCAAACACAATGAGTAAGTCAATGATTGCCACTGAATTATTAGGCACAAATTGGTTAACTGATATAACTATCCAACCATATCTTGATATGTTAAATAACAAGTTATTAACTAAGACATCGTGTGTTATTATAAACCCACTAATTGTCCATGCAGTGAAAAACTCAATGGATGTTCACCAATTTCTAGATCCATTGGAAATTAAAAACAAACATATTATTTTAACATTAATAAATGACTCTGAAGATCTTAGCAGTGGAATTAGCGGTTCCCACTGGAGTGTATTGTCATTTGACAGGAAGAACAATAAATTCTATTATTTTGACTCCTTGAACAATGCCAATTTGTCTGCTGCAAAGAAGGTTGCTCAAAAGCTCTCAGATTATTTTGGTGAAAAAACGTGTATGGCTGAATTTCTGTCATTGAATGGCCCACAGCAGTCGAACAGCTATGACTGTGGTGTGATCTCCTGCTGGGTCGTAGAGTCTTTGGTAGATGACATTATCACTACTGGGTCATTAAATGTGCAGTATCTCCAGAATTGTAAACTCACCAATGAAGACGTGATTTTAAAACGCTCAATACTTGCATATCTTCTGCATGATTCCACAGCATTAAACAACGGATTGTTTTACAATTTGTTGATTAAAAAAGGAGGTAAAGTCAAGGAAAATAAAAGGTTGTGTAATACAGAGAAAACTTCAGCTACACCTAATTCACAATCCTGGACCCAAATACAACCTAGAGCTAAAAGAAATCATATTAAAACTAAAAAGGCATTGACAAAAGAACCTGAAATAGTAACAACAAATAAGTTTTCTGTTCTTGACAAACAGAGTAACCAGGATATTACCAAGGCAAATAGACCCGATAGAGAACTCATGACACCGGAAGACTCCATGACAAAGCCTACAGCACTTCAGATTGATAACACTAGGCCTAAAAGAAGAACAAGAAGAACTAGCCAAGGAACTACAACTACATGTCCTGATATTAATCTAACATTCTGCTCGGACAGTCAAGGTAGAAATGTAGCCAACAAGATTGAAACCTACAGCTTGGGCAAAATAAACACGTTTGGCTATGTACGAGCCAATACCACTTTACTGCAGGTTGTGGACTCAGCATCCATAGATAACAACAAGAATTACCCTTTAGTCATACTTGGAGGCACCAATGACAGTCTGAATGGAAACCTATCTGATATATATGTACATCTAGAACACAAACTTACCCAAATTAGCAAATCCAGACCAGTATTCTTATGTACTGTACCAACAAGACATGACAAACCCATGAATCACTTTGAAAATTTAAATATAGAGACGGTAAACAACTATCTCCATGAATTAACAGCTAGAAGTGACAATGTGCATCTAATCAATTTAAGTGAACTCAAAAGATATCACTACACATCCCATGGACTGCACCTCAATAACAAAGGCAAAACTAAATTAGCACATATTATAATTGACTGTTTAAAAAAGTGGTACAGCAACCGAAAAAATGCTAGGCCTACTGTTCTCACGAGTACACATGGCCTGAACTCTGGTACAGCCACAGCACTCCTACAAAATCAAACAGTAACAGTTACAGCTACAAATCAAGACAACCCTGGAATTACTGTAATTGAGGCTGACATGAAAGTTGTTATTCAAGAACAAAAATGTAATGTAGATGTTGCTTTCGCTCATTGTATTTCAGCTGATTTCACTCATGAAAAAAACATGAGTGCAGGAGTAGCTGTAGCTTTTAAAGAGTGTTTTGGTAAACCAAGTGATTCGGACTACTGTAACTCTAATTTAACACAGCAGAAAGTTAACAATGGGCCATCAGTTTTTGGCTTGGTCACTAAATCAAGGTACTACCAAAAACCAAGACATAACAAGTACATATTTTACAACAATGCTTTTGATCAACTAATAGAAGAATTTAATAAACAAAATTTGAAAACCCTAATTTGTTCTCCTATGGGATGCTCCAGAGATCATGTCACGCTTGCACACTTTGCAAAAAATATAGTGAAATTTCAAAGGTCAACTAATGCATCAGTTATCATCATAACTTCAGATGAAAGAACCAACACCAACATTAGAAATGGCCTTTCGCATGCTGCGTTTATCACAAGTCTCAGAGAAGCTATCGCTGTCAAAACTTCTAGTACTGGTATCCATAACATCCAACAACACACTGATGCAACCAGAACTACAACAGCAGTTCACAAAGATGTTAATGTCTACAGCCAACTACAAGAGGAAGATGATACCTCCCAGTCCAGTTTGAGAATTTCACCTTCAACTGTGTCAAGTGATGGGGGGTTGGCTGTCAGTGGGTGTGCTAGTGTCAGTGCGGTATCTGGTGCCGGCGTAATGCATAGCCTCTCTGCCCTATGTACACTTCAACTCCCTCCTCAAACCCGAAATATTAATATCAATTGTAATCTAGAAGCTAAGGATAAAGTAAGCAATGTTATATCTTGTACACCACCAACTGTAACAGACAACCCGCCTTCAAAAAACTTATTAAAGATGCCAAAAGAAATCACTTAAATTTAACCAACAAAAGTTTTAAATTGGATATATTTCATTTAAATATACAACACCTGCCATCTAGAATAGATTCTTTACAGATAACAGTTGAAGAATTAAATCCCGATTTAATATTAATTAATGAGCATAAAATGACAGATTTAGAACTTTCGAGATTTAATTTAAATAACTATTGTATTCACTCATCTTTTGCAAGAAGTAGATCTGGTGGTGGTGGTGTCTTGATCCTTGGTAAAATCAATGGAAATGTAAAACATAGAAAAATAAATATTTTGGAAAATACCAACATAATATGTGAAAAAGAATTTGAGTGTTGTATTACAGAGTACAAGCATAATAGTTTAAAGCTTTTACTAGTAGCAATATATCGATCCCCTTCTGTAAAAATTAATCTCTTTTTAGAGAAGCTTGACTCTTTATTAAATTTATTGTTGAAACATTTTAAAAATATTGTAATTGTTGGAGACATAAATATTAATGTATTGGACACTACTTACAGGAAAATGCTTAATGACGTACTACAGGTATATAGCATGAGATATCTTGTAAACTTTCCTACTCGTGTTACATATATGTCAGAATCAGCTCTAGATAATGTATTGACAAATGTTTTAGATTATAAGATAAATGTTACTGGAGTGAATACCCAGATATCTGATCACGATGGATTATTGTTGCAGATTAGTTGCCTAAATAATAAGTTCACAAACCAAAATGTTTTGACTCCAAATAAAATAACTGTAAAAGAAGTAAGAGACTTTAGTGAAAAAAATTTACACATGTTTACTAAATTATTAGATCATGAAAACTGGATAGATGTTTACAACGCAAATGTTATGGAGAAATTCGACACTTTTCATAGAATTTTTATGTTTTATTTTAATACATGTTTTCCTAAGTTTAAAAAACGATGCAAACAATCAAATAATATTTGGATAACAGATGATTTGAAGAATGAAAAATCTAAAATTGTAAACATGAGTAAAATGGCACGTAACACAAAAAATAAAATTTTATTTGATAAAGCCAAAAGTCTGAATAAGGATTTTAGAAAAAAAGTCATTGCTACTAAAAAGAAACATTTTGAGACTAAGGTTAAGCAATCTAGTAATGTATGTAAAACTACCTGGAAAATCCTTAATAATGAGGTCTCCAACAAGAAACCAGCATTTAGTAATATTGAAATAGATTTTAATCATACATTGTTTACTGATCCTGGAGATATTAGCTTAATATTTAATGATTTTTTTAGCACCTATGTAACCTCATCAATACTTCCTTACCTTGCACAAAATAGCAACACACATGTCAACAAGCCAATTCAACAAGTCTCCCAAACTAAATTTAGGTTAAAACCAGTCACAGATAGTGAAGTTTTAAAAATTATCAGTTCCTTTGATAACAAACTTTCAACTGGTTTTGATGAGATACCCATGACAATATTAAAGCATGCTTGCTATCAGTTAGTGAAGCCTCTTGTGCATTTAATTAACTCATCTTTTGTTAGTGGATTATTTCCTTCTAAATTAAAAATTGCTAAAGTTATTCCTCTTTATAAAAACAACGATTCTAAAAAAATAACCAATTACCGTCCTCTTTCGCTATTACCTACCATTTCAAAAATATATGAGAAAGCAGTATACATACAACTGACGAATTATCTGGAAACGTATTCTTTACATGATAATAATCAGCATGGCTTCAGATCAGGAAGATCAGTTACAACTGCAGCAATAGATTTTATAGAATCAGTAATAAACTCTCTTGACAAAGGTGAAACAACAGTTGGCATATTTTTAGACTTAAGTAAGGCTTTTGACAGTGTGTCACATACAATTCTTTTAGATAAAATCAGAAGTTTGGGCATTGATGGCATTTCGTTTGAATGGTTTAGATCATATATTTCTAACAGATATCAATACGTTGAAATTAAAAATTTGACAAATAACAGGTTAATCTCAAGATCTTCTCCTCTTACAGAGATTCACCATGGGGTACCCCAAGGGTCTATTTTGGGACCGATCTTATTTCTCATTTATATTAGGGATCTGTCAATTCCATTTTCAACTAGTTTACACAGTAGTAATATCTGCCTGTATGCTGATGATGTTACTTTTAAAATCAGCAATTCATCTTTATCAAATTTAGAAAATCATTGTTCTGATACTTTAAATATGCTAAATACTTTTTTAAATTCTCATCAGCTCTTGTTAAATTTAAGCAAAAGTAATTTTATGGTTTTTACAACAGGAAAAAGAAAACAAATTGTACAGCCTGTAATTCAATTTCAAAATAATAAATTGGAAGAAATCACCACAACAAGGTTTTTAGGATTAATTGTAGACAAAAATCTTACATGGAATAAGCATGTTGACCAGGTAGTCAACAAAATTACTTCTGGTATCCATGCTATTAATAGAATGTCAAAATTTTGCTCAATAGAAACCTTAAAGATTCTTTATTTTGCTTTTATCGATTCATCAATATCTTTTGGCATAAGTATTTATGGCTGTACCTCTAAGCAAAACCTGGATAGAATTCTTACTCGTCAAAAAAGTGCAATCAGAATTATGTTAAATTTAGAATGGGATACTTCCGCTCGTCAATATTTTTCAAAATTGGGAATAATGACTGTGTATAGTATTTATGTTTTTCATACAATTTTACACACAAAAAAACTTTCTAATGCTAATTTGGTCCCTAAACTTGGTGATTGTCATAATTATTTTACCCGGAACAGAAACGAAATTGCTGTCAGTGTCCATAACTTGGAGCTCTTTAACAAAAAAACCACCTGTGCAGGGAAAAGGTTTTTGGACAAACTCCCAGCTGAGGTGAGGAATATTGATAATATTTCCAAATTTAAAAAAAAACTTAAACATTTCTTAACTGATAAAACACTTTATGGTTTCGATGAATTGTAGATTAGTTTTATTTAGTTTTAAGCCTAGTGACGCCATTCAATGTATGCGACTGTATACCATATGAATAAAGATATTTTTTCATTTTTTCATTTCATTCATTTTCATTTCATTTCATTTCATTCATTCATTTCATTTCATTTCATTTCATTTCATTTCATTTCATAGAGGGATAGTATGGGTCAATCATTACAAATATCTTGGGGCAATTTAATAAATTTAGTGAAAAGTTTGGAAAATCTTAACACTGTGCTTTTGTTCAATAATATCTAAAATATGATATTTATTTATTATATCATGGTGCAGAGCTGGAACTTATATGTTAATTACGTAGAAAGTAGGTCTAGTTAAAAAAATCATTCATTATGGATGGCTAGTAAAAAGAAAAAACTATTTTAAGATTTTTCTCCCTGAAATGTAGGCTCATTATTTGGGAATTATTTATAAGAATTTATATTATTTTTACTTATTCTGAATATGATTTCATTTATTTAAATGTAATTTGCTATTTTATAAATATGACTGAAAATTCGGGAGATAAGAAAAGGTATTTTTGATAGTTCATAACTGAATTCAGATCTGCATGATAATGGGGCTTTTAAATAAATAGTCCTGTCTAAAAATTCTCATCTTAGTAACAAAGCTACATAAGGCAGCTCACTTGGTGGAATCAATTTCTTGACTAAAGGAAAATAGAATGGATTTTAAAAATTACTCGGTAAATATTAAATACTTATCATTATTTCAAATACAATGGCTCGGAAAATAAGTAATATATACTTGAGAGGAAAATTTACCAATACAGTCTGTTATAGTTGACCTTGTAACAATACTTGATAACTTTGCAATGTTTGAGAACAGATAAAAACCTTACTGTCTCTTTTCAGCAGCCAGGGCAGAGTTTTCTTGCTCCAGACTTTTCACTTGTGTCCTTAGATTCTTTATTTCTTCAGTAAGGCTGGGACGGGACTTTTCAACATCTTGCAATTCCGCTTTTAAATTTTCAGATTCTGTAAAAATGATAAAAGTAGGCCTATAGTTTAATTCTGTAATTATCTCAATATAACGTAAATGGTAACATGATCTTGCACATTTACAGTTAACACTTCAAAAATTCATTATATTAAATCACCTTTCTCAGCAGCTCTAGTGCGGTGAAGTAACAGTGATAGCTCATTGTTCAAAACTCTGACTTCATTTTTCAACATTTGTTTTTCCCCATCTAATCCACCAGCTTCTACATCTTTCACAAGTAAATTATCTGGTTTGGTCTGGAATTGAAAAAAAAAACATTAATTATAAACGGACCTTAAAGTGAACTGGGCATAACTAAATGTATAAACAACTTAAAAATAATTTCAATAAATATATTTAAACGGGTAATTTTCTGAAACATTGTAATAACAGTAGGCCTACTGTAAATAGTTTCATGTTGTTAGCCTCCGGATGGGTTAAATACCTTATGCTTCAATGGTACTCCCAATGGTTTTAAATACCTAAGGCCTATACTGTCAAAGTATAGCCATAGACTACTTAGGATCACTTTGACAATATAAGGTATTTAAACCATATGGTAAATAGTTAACCCTCAACCAAAATGAGAACGGTTTTTAAAAATCATTTCAAGACTCAAAACATAGGCTACTGTTTGCAGCACGCTTTATGGCGTTCCTTCGATCTTGAACATTAAATGGAATTGTGTTAGATGACCTGTCTTACAGTACATTACTAACAGTGCCTGTCACCAGCTCTGAAGATGGCTATCTGCAACGAAGCCGAAACGTCAAATACTAGTGTTTCTCCTAGTTTTTCGACGCGGTCGTTCCCAGAAGACCAAGGACTTTGTGTTAGTAATTGTAACCTTGGAAGCCTTACTTCATATAATCTAATCTAGCAGATTTTAGGAAGTGCAAAATTTTTCAGCAACCACAGTACATAATCACCCATTGAATTTAGATTGACTATAGAATTCTATAATTTTTAAAATACTAGTCTTATGTAAAAGTTTAGACTGAACCAACTTTTTCGTAGTGAAAATCACCATTTGGTTCCTACCTCTGATGTCGAGGAAGAATTGTCATTGAGAAAATCAATGAGTTTTTCTTCTTCTTGGACCTGATTGACCATCACTGGGGCCGATTTGACTTGTGGTAAAGGTTTCTTGGCTGGGCTCGGTGGTGGGGTCAGCCTCGATCTTTGGCCTGAGAGGAAACTAGAAATAGAACAAAACAAGTTTAATTAAATTTCACACATGCATTGTTATGTTACCTTACTGCTATTTAAATTTGAGATCTGAGGATAATGCTAACGGAATGAATTTTAAGTCCTTAAGAGATGGAACTTTTAGGTGGTAACAACATGTAAATGCTGATTAGGTAAATTGGAAGAGCTGAATATGAGCAGGATCAAAGAAAACGACATGGAAATTTGAAGAGTTTGGTTGAGTAGTTAGATTCCTTTTTTTACTTTCTCCCCCTATACCATAGTATATGGAGAAAGTATTGTTTTCGTCAAAATTTTCGAGTTTGAGTTTTGAGTGGATATATTCGTTTTGGGTCCCCCGGACCCAAAAAAGTGGTTTTCGAAGTGATGTCTGCGTGTGTGTGTGTGTGTGTGTCTGTGTGTCTGTGTGTCTGGATGTGTACAGAGCTAGAGACTACACCTGTGGTCCGAATTCGATGAAATTTGGTATGTAGAATTTGGTATGTGAAATCAATGGTATCTCCAGGCGTTTTTTTCATTTTTTTGAAATTTTGATTTTTACTGGGGATTTTCCCATAAAAACCCATAAAAAACCGGAAAAGTAGGATTTTTTAAAAAATGGCCCGAACGATTTTGATAAAAATTTAGTATGTTGTAGCCCTTTAAATTCTGAACAAAATGGTACAAATCCCATTTCTGTAAAAATTACGGTTCAAAAGTTATGGTAAATTATGTTATTTTCCCATAAAAACCCCATAAAATAACGAAAAATAGGATTTTAGACAAAAACCGGTTTTGATTTAACATAGTATATTATTAATGGTCCTTAAAATTTTGATAGTTTTTTCATTTTTTATAAATTTTGATTTTTAATGGGGATTTTTCTATAAAACCCCATAAAATAACGGAAAAATAGGATTTTCCCAAAAATGGCCTGAACGATTTTGATAAAAAAGTTAGTATGTTATAGTCCTTTATATTCTGAACAAAATGGTACCAATCCCATTTCTGTAAAAATTACGGTTCAAAAGTTATTGTAAATTATGTTATTTTCCCATAAAAACCCCCATAAAATAACGGAAAATCAGATTTTCCCAAAATTGGCTAGAACAATTTTGATAAAAATTTAGTATGTTATAGTATTTTAAATTCTGAAGAAAATTGTACAATTCCCATTTCCGTATATTTACGTTCACCGCTTACACATGATAAAGGTTGTTGACAAACTTATGGGAGAAAGTATGTGTCAGAATGCTGATACCGTTTATTTATTTTTGGTCCAGTAGACTCTCATAAAATACACCTTTTAACCATAGCCTACTTAGGTTTAGCCGGACTACACAAGGTGTTTGGATAAGAGGGAGTTTACTGTATGTGTTAGTCTTATATTCTACATACAGTAAGACTCTTTTGAGTTTGAGTAAAAACAAATAAATAAAAACAAAGATCTTGACGTCTAAAAAAAATCTACACAACCATAAAGAAAAAGGGGGTTTTTAAAGGATAGAATCCAGTGCTAAAACTATTGTATTCAGTTAAAAAGTATCACAATATTATCAAGAGTTTAAAGTCAGCTCCTGCTTAGGTCAACTCTAATCTTTAATTATTTTAGCGAATTTCACTATAGGGAAGTAACTTTTACCGTAGGTGGCATGGAAAGACCTAGGCCCGGGACCGATTTAAATAATTTTTACTTGGGTACTAAGTTTATTAATGTTTAATCTTTATTTATATATAGTAGCCCTATTATTCTATTTTTCATATAATATATATATGTGTCCGTGAACACAATATCTTGAGTAATTTTTGTATGATTTTGATGAAATTCAGTGTCTTATACTAAGCTATTAATATTTTACTAAAAACACACTTTATTAGTTTCCTTGTAGCAGCAAACCTAGGTACCTACTCGTTGAACGTAATGTTATTTAGGCAGGCCTAAATAGATTTAATAGAATATCACTTCCGACAAATGGAAATTCGCTTAGTCGGCAGGTTTGCTGCAGCGGGGTTATTTATACATAGATTTCTTAACGTGATCAGATTGAGCAAAACCCATTGGTGGTGATTTGAATCCATTAATTTTAGTTCCAATACTGTAATGAGCATGTATGTTAAATGCTAAATGACTATCAATTTTGATTCAAGAACATATAGCTTCACTGGTACAAAATATGCTGTGAGGTAGACATAAGGGTTTGTGCTAACTCATAAAATAATATTGCAACCAGGAATTCAACCCAGTAAATCATAAGCTGATTTTACGCAATCAGATCACTAACCACCTTGGAAAAGTGATGGATTCAAAGAACTAAGAAACTTCACTAAGAAATGTAAATTTATGTTTTAAGAGTCCTTGGAGGCTAGTCTTGTATGATTTCAAACAGCTGCTGAAGAGTTATTTATCGTCCAAAAATATTTTTTCAAACAACAAAGACATTATAATTTAAATATCTAGTACGGTATACTTTGAGATTTAGAAATGTTCTTTGTAGTTTTGAATTGTTCTCCAAGGTAGTCCATGGGAGCTAACGGCCATCTTGGATTAGCCAGCCATAAGAGCAATGTTAATTTTGTTAATTTCTAACAGCTGCTGAAGAGATATTAACCGTCCAAAAATATTTTTTTAAAGTTTTCAATTGTTTTATGAGTTAGAACGTCTAGGCTCCACGGGCTCTTAATATAATTATTTGCCTGTGACTCATTCAAACTCCAACTGACCTCTGTTTGACTAAATTTGACTCAGTGGTGACTTCACTTAAAATTGGTTCCTCGATGTATTTTGCTGGTTTCTTTTTTTGAAGTTTATCTGCAGCACTTTGGTCAATTTTGTTTAAAATCTGTTCAGCCTTATCGGCAAATCCTGTAATCCATGACATCTCTGAAAAAAAAAAATAGAAAACAGGAATTAATTAGGTAAGAAACCATAACTTAATAAAATCCTATTGTGAGATATTTTTGCCAAGTGTAAGAGACTGTCTTTTCTGCAAATTGGTGTACCTGCATTCATGTGATCTAGAGCATTGCAGTCAGTTAGATCACTCGGTAGATTAATTCAGGTATTTAAATTACACCTATTTAACTGGATGGCACACCATTTTTTGGCAACCCGCCGCCATTGTAGTTAGTTGTTAGGCCTATATGTTTAAATTTAAATAGTTTTATAATTGATAAAATCTTTTTCGAGCGGAGCGAAGCGAAGCTCTTTGGGATCAACATCAATGCAATCTTTATAACACTTAATCTCAATAACGGCTGAACATTTTTTAGCCAAACTTACCAAGGTTGTTTTGTCAAATGTTTGGATGGTTTGGACGTAACCAATTTCAATTTTTGATAGTGCCTATATAATTTCAAAGTAACTTAAAGTTTTTAAATTTTAAAATTGGTCTTATGAGTTGCCATGATAGCTACACTAAAAAAAAAGACTACAAGATCGCGCCACTCATCCTACACTCATCTCCATTCATACTTGGCTTAAAATAGCCTACCTACTTTGTATGGTCGCCATTTCAAAGAAAAGTATAAAGTAAGTATAAAGTACAAAATAACGACGTAAATGTATAAACAAAACAAAGAATCATAGCATACGTTAAAATCAAGCCATAACCTAAACACAGTACAAAGGGAAAAAATCAGATGATGATAACTGATCAAATACCACAGAGAAAGTCTTAGGTTTACATTTAAGTCACAATTTTGAAACGACCACTGATTGAATAGGTGAGTGAAAATTTAAAAACGTACGTTTTCATGTCCCTGGCCTTTTACTTCGTAGATACTGGATTTGTAGTTTATTATTATGTGTTTTAATATTTTTTGGGACGGGGGCAACATGTTACACACATTTATTTGGTTTTAAATAGGTTCTAGGTATTTTTTTCGTATTTTTAAAGTCTCGAAATTCACGACCATGACGTGTCCCTAGGGTGAATTTTCCAACTTTCACACTGTTTTTAGACTAATTATTCATGCCGAAATATATAAAGCCATATTTTTATGTCATCAATGGTTATTAAACTTACAAAAAAGGAGCATATTATAATTTTATTGTCATTGCAAACTGACTACCATGACAAAATAAGTCTGTCCCTCGATTTGGCGTCACGACCATTTGGGAAAAATTTTCAACTTTGGAGCACGACAGTGGCAAGCCTGGCGTCGATGGAGTCAGTTGGTTTTAGAGACTAGTTCGGGGTGTACGTCAGGATTGTAGTGCCGGTCGTTTTGAGTTGAAAGGAGGAATTACAAGATTAATAAAGGAAAGATTGTGTTTTTTGTAATTTTGGTGTGTCCATGACCGTACGTAGTCATTCGATGAGGTAGACATGGTGTTAATTTTTGTTTATAAGATATTTCAATTGCTAGATTAACCTAGAAGTCCACTTTGTATCCTCGAACATGAGGTGCAGGGCTACCGCCAGAACAGAGCCAAATTACACGTAATTTCACGACCAAAGTTTCACGACCATCGCGGGTTTTTTCACGACCAATCCAGCCTTATGGATTATAGTGTGTTTGGTCGTGACAATAACTTTAATATAATTGTAAATTGAACAGTTAAGTTCAATTGAAACACATATTTTTATTATAACTAACATGATAATTGAAGGATTGTTTAGAACGATTTAGATTATTCCAGACAATTCACGACCGTACCGCTTGTCCCTGACCATCAGGTTTATGATTTCTATCATAAAAATTTCAAAAATTAAAATATCGTCATATTTCAATGTTTTATACACAAAAGAAGCACACCTCTATACAAACATAACGATTTTTCGGGTCTCAGGTAAGTTTTTTCGGAGTTATACAAACTTAAAAAGATTTTATTGGCTTTTTTCAATTTTTTGAGTTTTTTTATTTTTTTCTAGAAAGACCAAATATACCAAAAGCTCAGTGACCTATTTATTGTATAATGGTCATAAAAGTAAATAAGTTTATAACAAAACATAGTTATAAAAATAATATTAACTATTTTTAATATTCATTTAAACGTCCGTTATGGTCGTGACAGGATTTTGTGTTTTTCCACTAAAGATGCTCTTTTAAAAAGAAACTACCAAAGATATTGCGTTACCATGGACATTTTATGAAACTTCAAATGTTAATGAAATAAAAATAATAATAAAAGTTTTGAAAAAAGGGGAAAAGAATTTGCAAAGTGCTTTTGCTGAAAACGTACGTTTTTAAATTTTCACTCAGGTACAGTCATAGTTAAAACATACTTTCTTAGGTACAGTATTTACCAGATTTGTGTTACATAGCTAAATAAGGTTATAACAAATAACATTTTATCTTAAACAATCCGTCGGTGGATCCATCTCATAAATGGCAAACTTAGAAAGATACACGACGTAGGAAGTGGTGAAGGAAGTAGTAAAGGCGAGCAGTGCAGAGTGTAGGAACCGTTTATGGCAGTTAGATAATTATACTAAAATGGAATAAATATATCTATGGTTCTTACCGTCAACGCAATCAGGGGTAGTATTTCACTACGGCCGTTTCGGAGATGACTCCATCGTCAGGTGCGTAGTGGTACACTAAACTATAGTCTTGTCACATTTAACACGAACATTCTTCATTTGCATTGCGTCAGGTGTTGAATAAATAATACACATATATATACAGGACGGACACACGAAAACACGAAAACATTTAGAGCGTGTGCACGGCTTGAAAACTGACGACCGACTTATCCATGAGTCGGTCGTCAGTTTTCAAGCTGTGCACGCGCTCTAAATGTTTTCGTGTATTTGTGTTTTCGTGTGTCCGTCCTGTATATATATGTGTATTATTTATTCAACACCTGACGCAATGCAAATGAAGAATGTTCGTGTTAAATGTGACAAGACTATAGTTTAGTGTACCACTACGCACCTGACGATGGAGTCATCTCCGAAACGGCCGTAGTGAAATACTACCCCTGATTGCGTTGACGGTAAGAACCATAGATATATTTATTATATTTTCACGCAATCTGCCACACTCAAGAATATAATATATACTAAAATGGTATGGGAAGGGGAAACAAGTCCACGACGTAGGAAGTTGTGAAGGAAGTAGTAAAGGCGGCTGGAAATGCGGAGTGTGGGAACCGTTTGTGGCAGGTTACATTAATGTATCTGCAATAATAAAATATTATGGGAAGGGAGGAAAACAGGTCCAAGACGTAGGAAGTGGTGAAGGAAGTAGTAAAAGTGAACAGTCCAGAGTGTGGGAACCATCTGTGGCATTTATATTAATGTATCTGCATCCTAAAATGCTATAAGAGGGAGACAGGCCCATGGCGTTGGAAGTGGTAAAGGAGTAGCCTAGTAAAGGCTAGCAGCGCGGAGTGTGGAACGCTTTATGGCAATTAGATTAACGTATATATAATACCAAAATGCTATGAGAAGGAAGGGAAACAGGTCAACGACGTAGGAAGTGGTTCACGAAGTAGTAAAGGCCAGCAGTGTGGTGTGTGGGAATCGTCTGTGGCAATTAGACTAATGTATCTGCACTCTTAAAATGCTCTAGAAAGGGAGGGAAACAGGTCCACGTAGGAAGTGGCGAAGGAAGTAGTAAAGGCTAGCAGTGCAGAGTGTGGGAACATGTATTTTTGTAGGCCTATTATATCTATAAATATTTTTTTCATTTATTGCTTTGCTAAAACCCATGAAACATGATATCTCCACTCAACTGGCTTTCATTGCTATGAAAGCAATCCTAGTTTACTTTGTCAGTCACCGATGCAGTGTTCAAGTATCAAGTAGCCTAGCCTAACCTACCATAGTAAGTTAGTTGTGAAAAGTGCCGTTAACATAAGGTGATCTTAAGAAATGCAACCACAAATATTACTGTACTTAAATAATAACTTAATGTTACTTTGAAATGGCAACCATACGAATGTATGTGCAGCATTTTAAGCAAAGTATATGAATAGAGATAAGTGTAGGATGAGTGGTGCGATCTTGAAGTCTTGTTTGTTTTTTACTAAGGCCGACATATTCACAACTAAATAGGCCTAGTAACTTCACTAGATAGGCCTACCCTATTGAATTTGATCACCTATAAATGCTTTGAGGCGTTGTTACTCTTTACTAGCTCAATAAGATCGCTCAGCAACAACATCTTGAAAATTGCAAGTATTTATGGGTTAACTTAGTAAAAGACATTGCTTGGTTTTTACTAGGACCTATGACCAGTAAAGGGACGAAAAAGTTAGAAAGTGGAGCTAGTTAACAAGCCTAGATACTATAGTGTACCAGTAAACTTAACTCCAGGCTAGGCCGTTTTATTTACATTAACTTAAGTTACTTACTGTCTGTAGCATAATAAACGCATATGCTGCTTCACTTCATAGCCTATCAATTCTTCCAAGCAAAGATTTCAAGATTCAGTGTAGTAATTTCGGAACCAAGGCCTATTCATTCACTTTGACGTTGACGTTGACAGTAATGAAGGTTCTTCTGCTTCTGAGTCCTTTCTGTCTTCAGTGTCTTCTGCTTCTCTTCTCGGCTTCTCGTCTTTTTGTGTTGAGTGTTGAGTGAGGTTGGGAACGTAAACTTTTTCATTTTCGGATTTCTCTTCTTTTTTTTTAAGAAATTTAGCTTCTGCTAGAAATAGAAAACAGTCACTTTTTTATTTTACCATTGATTTTAGAAATGTTCTTGCGTTTTTTTACCTAGGTGGAAAAATGTTACTTTAATGAAGAAAAAGCTAATTTTGTATTTAGATAGCACAATAAACCTTACGAGTAAAATAAGATAGTAACTTTGTGAGTTATGTGTAAATATGTACTCGGAAAGCGTGTCTACGGTAAGCTACATGTCTTTGTAAATTGTAGAGAATTCTAACTATCAAATCAGCTGATTGATTTTGATTTGGCCGCTTTCCCGAGCTTGTACTTTTCCTTGTACCACTGTGTATGCATCTGTAAGTCAATTGATAATATTTCAAAATTTTCATTTTTATGTGTTTTTAGCGAATTTCCCATATAGGGAATAAGCTATTACCGTAGTAGGTACTCATGGTAAGACCTGGACCCAGGACCGATTTAATTTTTCATTTTGAGGTCCCTAGAGGTCAAAAACGCCATCCGTTCAAATTCATATATATGGGTGTGTGTGTGTGTGTGTCCGCGTGTCCGTTAGCAAGATAACTCGAGCAAAAATGGTCCGATTTTGATGAAATTTGGTACAAACGTGTAAACCTACGTTTATTCGAACTAGTTCGCGATCCAGCATAATCGGACCGTGGGAACGGGGTTTTATGGGGTAAAAATTGGGTTTTCCCATTTTTTTACTCTAAAAACAAAAAGTTTTGCAATTTCTTTTTAAACCGTTTTGCAGAGCTTAAAAACGAAATAATTTAGTATATTGAAGCGCTGTTGTATGCCTAACGGTCACGGAGAAAATTCAAAAATAGTGTAATTTAAAATTCCCATGTTATTCTTATGGAGAAAATGAAAACTGTTGTAGTTTACTTGTTTATGGATATATTGTTGATAAAATTTGGCAAATTTATTTATTTCATCCTATACTATTGACGTATGGTCAAAAAACACTTTTTACCTTCCCCGTAGCAGCAAACCTAAGCAATCGTTAAATCTAATGTTATTTAAATAGGGGATAAATAAATGTCTTATTTATGGAAATATTTTAGAAAAAATGTATTCAAACAAGTTGAAATTCAATTAGTCTGCAGGTTTGCTGCGGCGGGGGTATTTAACTTTTAACACCTTTCTTTCTGGCTCCATCGATTGTTCTTGAACGTTTCAAGGCTTCTTACAAGTAACTGAAACTGAACGTTCTTAATGTTCCCGTTGCATTATTTTATAATACTGGAACCGTAACAGAATACTGGAACTGGAACGGGAACGGGTTGTGAAGCATTTTGACGTGCGAAATAGACAAGTCACTTCGAACGAATCGAAGTTCGTCGAACTCGAAGTTCGAATCTCCTCAGTCTCAGTCCTCATTGCATTCATTCATTTTCATTCATTCGTTTCGTTTCCGTTCGTTGGATGAGGTTATGTTATTGTCTGTTACCTATTTTGTGTTGTAAATGTGAACTTATTTTAATCTTTAAATCGTACTTTGCAAATTCACTGCATTAAAAACAATACACTTAACTTATTTCATTTGGATAAAAGGGTAAATATATCGTCAATTTGAACTTGGGCCTAGTTTTAAATTAATATGGCTAGTGATACCTCAGAAGAACCACCCAAACCACTCTTCAGGAATTTAAACGCTGATGATCCTGATCCTGAAGCCTCCGTAATTGAAAGCCTTTGTTTGAATTGTGGAGAAAATGGCACAACCAAACTACTTTTAACAAAAATTCCATTTTATAAAGAGGTTGTTCTCATGTCATTTGAATGTCCACATTGTGGGTTTAAAAACAATGAAATGCAATCTGCAGGTGAAATTGCCGAAAAGGGGTTAAGAATAACCCTAAAGGTTGAATCGGAAAGAGATTTGAATCGCCAAGTCGTCAAATCAGATTATACATCTGTGCAGATACCAGAAGTAGATTTTGAGATTCCATCTCAGTCTCAGAAAGGTGAAGTCACAACAGTGGAAGGTGTAATAGATCGTGCTATTAATGGACTTACTCAAGATCAAGATACAAGATCTTTGGAAGACCCTGATGTAGCGAAACAAATTGATGAATTTGTTAAAAAGCTTCAGAAGTTAAAACAAGTCGGTGACACCCATTATACCATGATTTTTGAAGACATTAGTGGAAACACATTTGTTTCTAATCCTCATATGCCTCATAAGGATCCTAACTGTGACGTAGTGAGTTTTGTACGAACCACTGAGCAAAACCACACTCTTGGAATTCTCCCAGCTCAAGGAGAAAGCATCAAATTTCCTGGCCCTACTGATTTCGTATATGAAGATCTTCAAAGTGAAGTTTTACAGTTTTTGACTAACTGTCCACATTGTGCTACAGCGTGTGACACAAACATGAAACTCACCAACATTCCACATTTTAAAGAAGTGGTCATTATGGCAACGAACTGTGAAGCATGCGGCCATCGAACCAACGAAGTAAAAAGTGGTGGGGGAATTGAACCTCTTGGACAGAGGATTGCAGTCAAAGTACATTGTAAAGAAGACTTATCCCGAGATGTTTTGAAATCAGAAACCTGCAGTCTTGAGATTCCTGAACTTGATCTAGAAGTTGGACCAGCAGCTTTAGGAGGAAGATTCACAACTGTAGAAGGGTTGGTTGGTGCGATGAAAGATCAACTGATTGATAATGGAGCGATGTTCAGCGACTCTGCAGAAGAAGAAGGTAAAACTGCTTTACAACAATTTGTTGCTGACATGGAAAAGATATTAGTTGCTGACAAACCATTCACTATTATACTTGATGATCCTGCTGGAAATAGTTATGTTCAAAGCTTGACGTATCCAGACCTAGATCCAAACCTAGAAGTGACTAAGTATGAAAGAACACATGATCAAAATGATATCCTTGGGTTAAACGATATAAAAACTGAAGACTATGAGTCATCTTGATGAAGAATGTTTATATTTAGGCTCAAAACAAAATCATTGTAGATATCTGGGGTAAATATATTTGGTTTTTGTAAAGGTATACATTCTAAAATATTTAGTTAGTTTCCTATAAAATCCTTACGGTTATGATAGGCTACTTGCCTATGGAAAATTATTAGCAAAACTTTGATACCAGACTCCATTGTATTATGGAACCCTTAGGCCTATATCAAATATCGATTGGATCGATGACCTACCCTATCTTAACTTACAATGTATCATACTTTTACCTTGTAAGGTACTTGGGTACGGTATTTAAAAGTTTTGCCGGAAAATTATAGCCTAGTGTTTATCCTAAGACTGTTTTAAGCTAATTTCCCTATAGGGAAGTAGCTATTACCGTAGGTCTCATGGTAAGACCTAGGCCCGTGACCGATTTACTTTTTCATTTTGATGTCCCCAGAGGCCAAAAACACCATTCGTTCAAATTTTTATATTTGTACCTATAGGCTATACAAGATATTACAAGATATAGGCCTATATGTGTCCATCAGCACGATAACTTGAGTAATTTTTGTCCGATTTTGATAAAATTTGGTTTGAAGGTGTAAGGCGGGATAAACTTGAATGAGTTTGCGAAACCAGCATGATTGGACCATGGGAATGGGGTTTAATGGGGGGTTTATGGGGTAAAAATGGGTTTTTCTCATTTTTTACCCTTTAAACGCAAAATTTATAAATTTTTCTCCAAAACTTTTTAAAGAGCTTAAAAAAACAAATAATTTAGTAATGAAAGTGTTTTTGTATGGTGATTGGTTACGGAGAGAATGCAAAAAATGTTAATTTATAATTCCCTCTTATGGAGAATATTATAATGTTGTAGTTAGCTTGCTTATGGATATATTTTGATCAAACTTGGTGGATTTATTTATTTCATACTAAACTATTGATATTTTAATAAAAAACACACTTTATTAGTTTCCCTATAGCAGCTAACCTAGGTACTCGTTACATAAATGTTAATTTAATAGATTAATTGAAAATAAATCCAGGCAAAAGGAAATTCGCTTAGTCGACAGGTTTGCTGCAGCGGGGGGTATTCTTACTTCGATTAAAGTCAAGCTAAATTAGAAAAACATATTTTCTAGTAGGCATAGTACAAAAGTAGAGCCTAAACTTAGGCTATAAAAATAATTTTAAAAGTGTAACTTAGGCCGTATAGTTAAGTTAAAAAAACAATTTTCAGATTCTCTGACTGAAATTTTGTGTTTTAGGATATGGAATATTTCAAACCAGAACTTAATAGACCCTGTTATCATATAAGCAGATATCATACTGTATGCCTATTATAGATTTATGTTTGTTGTAGCTTGTGTTCTTGTAGGTAAGATGATTATGTTACCCTTTGAGAAATCTGGCAACAATAAAGGTATAGGCCTATCTAATAAGTTATTAACTTTGGTAACTTGAAGTCCTTGAAACTGGGATGACAAAAAAGTACCTACTTACAGAGTTTTACAAAAATGTGGCCGTGTAAAATATGTCTTATAATGTGGTTTATCATAGGCTACAAGTAATAAAAAAAAATCATAAAAAGTTAAAAACTTTTGAGACAACTTTATATTCCTCCTTTAAGACCAAAGGAGTAGGCTATTCAAAATTTTGCAAACCCATTATATATCTGCATTAAACCAACTAACTTATTTCAAACACTTTTTTTCATAATAAATTTCTCCATATAGGCCTACTATATCTATAAGTTTGTCTGTTCTGAATCATTATTTTTGTCATTGAGACAATTTAGTTAGTTTTCAGATTTTGTTTAAGTTATTGCTGACTTATTTCACGTGTCTATTCGTAATATAAGTACCTATCTAGGGTTGCAATATTCTTAGAATCAGTGTAAAAATGATTATGTCTAGACAACTTGACCAAGCGAAGTTAGGCCTAATTGTTTCTTAACTTGTTGATTTCACCTTGAAATTTTGGCTCAATTTCTTCATGTAATAATTAATTTAATTCACACAATATTTACTAAAAATGTGAAAGGGATTTTCAGATCATATGATTTCCAATTTCCAAAGCACAATTTTCAATAATCACTTAATTGAGCATGCATTAAACCTTTCAACCTTTGATCCTAGTGTCTAGAGTTATTATTCCATAAATTAACGTAGGACTATGCTATGCTAATTTTGAATAGTTAAAAAAATTCAATGTATCAAAATATAGTTGGATGTCATACAATTTATTTCCTACTAAACTTTATCTAAAGTTCAGGAAAAAATTAAAGCACAAAATCAAATGCTTTTGCCAATGAAATAATTTCCTCAAAATGTTTAATCTCTTAAGGTTTTCAAGGAAGGAAAACTAAGGGGTTTAGAATAATTTGAAACAAACCAGTATAGAATAATCTAGATTTTATTTACACAGAAGAGTTAAAAGCTGCAAACACCCTATCACATCGGGGACAGAGTTGATCAGCTGCAGGCGCCGTGTACTTCCGACATCTCTCACAATGATGTAGATCTATCAGGCTAACCTGAAACATATTTTTAGTTACACTCATGTATTTTGTGTTCCATAAAGTGTTTCAAAAATATATAGGTACTCTAAAAATATAAATGGATTAAATTAGTGATGATGACTTAACGAACAAAGGCCTAGGTATGAAAAATTGTTGGCAAATTATCATGCATTTTTTTGGAATCGCAAATTGAAGTTATGAGACGTTGTTAGAATGTATATCCACATACTCAAAATATAAGGTGTGCCAAAAATAATTCCTTTACCAAAAAGCTAATTAAGTATAAGTACATTGTTAAAGAACAAGTTAAATACAAAACTAGGAAATTTACACACTGATTGGGGGGTTTCACAATAGTAAGTTATTTGTACATAACTAGTGGACGAAATGGCACTTTGCTGCACATAAGAGAAATGCTGACGTACGAGCCGTAGGCGAGTGTGGAAAGTTTCTAGAGTGCAGCAAAAGCAGTTTGCACTCGTGTTACACATTATATTTTTCCTACAGTAAGTGTTGCTAACTTATTTTCAAGCGTACATGGATTACGTGCATGATAATAAAAGCATGCTGTTTTGTTTGGTTGGAATACTGGTGTGCGTCAAAGTAAAAACTTAAAACTGTGCGTTAAAGTAAAAACTGTGCGCCAAAGTAAGGCTTTCTGTACTATAATCTGTGCAAGGAAGCACACATTGTCGGGTGACAGTAAGAAAAAATATTTCCTTTAAAATGTCAGATTTATTTCCTTTTAGCGAATTTCCCTATAGGGAAGTAGCTATTACCGTAGGTGGCACGGTAAGACCTGGGCCCGGTACCGATTTACTTTTTATTTTGATGTCCCCAGAGGCCAAAAACACCATTCGTTCAAAATGTTATATATATATGGTTATTGTATTTGTAAATGTAAACATGACTATGACCTAAGTGTCGAAACATGTCTTTTATTAATTAAAAATGAATTTAAAAGGGTACTAATGTTTTTATAATGTTTTCAATTATTTATATAGTAGTAGCCCTAATCACAATCATACTTATTATATATATATATATTTACATCCGTGAACAGGATAACTTGAGTAATTTTTGTCCGATTTTGATGAAATTTGGTTTAAAGGCGGGATAAACTTGAATGAGTTCGCGAACCAGCATGATCGGACCATGGGAACGGGGTTTTACGGGGGGTTTTATAGGGTAAATGGTTTTATCTTATTTTTGACCCTCAAAACACAAAATTTCCCAATTTTTCTTTAGACCTTTTTAAAGAGCTAAAAAAACAAATAATTAAGTAAGTTATATAAAAGTGTTTTTGTACGGTTACTGGTAGAAAATTAAAAAAATGTGAATTTAAAATTGCTATGTTATTCTTATGGAGAATATTCTAAAATGTAGTTTGCTTGTTTATGGATATATTTTGATAAAATTTGGCAAATTTATTGATTTTATACTAAGCTATTATAATTATTTTACTTAAAACACACTTTATTAGTTTCCTAGTAGCAGCAAACCTAGGTACTCGTTTAACCTAATGTTGTTTAAATAGATTAATTGAAAATCATTTCAGGCAAATGGAAATTGGCTTAGATGGCAGGTTTACTGCGGCGGGGGTATTTAATTATTTATTTGCACAACCCCTCCCTCCCTTCTATTGTTTTGCCTTTATAGTGTTTTTTTTCTATTCTAACTTTTTTAAACATAAATTTATTGCTTACGTACAGTTCAGTAGTGGAATTTTCTATTGTGAAACAGTAGGCCTACTTTAAAACAAAATCACTACCGATCATGTCAGTCTATTCTGTGTCAAGTCAGTATACCATTGCCAGTCAGTTGCCGGCGACTGCTTAGAGTTGACCTATTCTGTTGTGACAGCTATAAAAATAGATTAGGACAACTACCGGTACCTCTTGCTTATTTATATATTTGTATTACTGTAGAATCCATAATTTTATGTAAACACAAGTTACATTTGAACAAATATTGATTTTTTACAATTTTAAACCAAACTGACTCGAAACTGGCGAGTTCAAAGATAAGCTCGAGTTTCAAGACGATCTACTCGAACACTTGCCAGTTTTGTGTTAATAGTATAACAAAAATCGGATCCAAGCCCAAGATCCGACTTTTTGTGGATCCGATCGGGCGTGTTCTAGCTCAGATCCGGTAGTCCGATATCCGGATCCTACCATCACTAGTTGACGTAAAACAGGGGAAACCCCAATTTTACCTCATAAAACCCCCTATAAAACTCTGTTCCCATAGTCCGATCATTTTGGTTAGCAAAGTCGTTTGAAAAAAACCTAAATTTATAAGTTTTTTTAGGCTAACAAATTTAATCAAAATTGGACATATATGTATTTGAATGGATGGAGTCTTTTGGCCTCTTGGGATATCAAAACAAAAAAAAAAAACAGTCTCGTGTGTAGGTCTTATTATTAGTTGTTTATACCCTACACACAGGAAATTTCCTAAACAGCAAAAAAAGGAAAAACAGTAGACCCGTTTGATCGTAAAATAATACAGTTTGTTTTAACCGACCTTGCTTTGAGAGCAGTTTGGTTTAACTGCCGCTTTCTAGGAATCTCTGCATTTCCGCTCCCACGCTGGGGGATGAGAACTGAACCATACGCTTATCTCCACGGATATTACTAAGAATAAGTTATTTTGTATTGATCACAAAAAATATAGCATAGCCTATTGTCAGTTTGTCATCATCGTTTGTAGCGCGAGCACATCTGATCTGATTTGTTATCTGTGTGGCAAATTTATAACATCATAATGTGCGTTATGATTTTCTGAACTGATTATCTTATCGCTGGAGTAAACAAACAACGCAACTTGTAGGGAGGGCAGGGAATGGGGGTTAACAACTCCAAGGTCAAGATAGCTTTGTGCCTCGAGCCTCCAGTGAAAGGCTATAAATAAACATCCTGTCTTGTAACAAAATGGTTGCTTGTATCTTTAATTTTGACAAAAGGTTCTGTACTGTATTATGATGGATTTGGAAAGCATCAATTAAAACATTACAGTACTAAAGTTATTAAAGTAGGAATTTTTATTGACTCTTGCCTAGTATTATAATATATTCCACTGAAAGTAGGCCTATTTGACTTAACTGTGTTTTGTGTTTATTTGTGACTTTACTATCAATATGAAAAAGGAGATAAGAGTACGGTAGTTTATTTTATAAATAATGCAAGTATGACTTCAAAATAATGATTTTATAAATCCAAATGAATAGCACTTCATTATGTTATGATTTTAGGGATTGCCCGTTTTAACCGACCTTTTGAGTTATCCGACCTAGGTCCATCCGGTCCCATTAGGGTCGGTTAAGAGGGGGTCTACTGTATGTATATTGGGGTTTAAAATTGTAATGCAATAAATATGTACTACACACACGTTTTCAATTACGGTATAGGCTAAAAGACCACAAAATACTTACCTCTACAGTACTTTTTTCAGCTGGCTCAGAATTGTGGCTTAAAGTCACTCTAGATACTTGTAGTATCTCTGACAGTTCAGAGTCGTAGCTATCTTCTGTGTCTTGGAGCTCCTATAAGCAAAAAACCAAAATACACATAGGGTACAAGTCATTTTAAATAATACGCTGTACCAGAATTAGGCCCCGTTCACACGGGCCGAGTTTGCAAGCTACACGCCAGCTTCTTTACACGCAGCTAGTAAAATAGCTCAGTGTGAACGAAATACTCGCTCAAAAGCTGCTTGTAAAAAAGCTCTGGAAAAAGTTGACGCTGCCACTACTTTACACGCCAACTCACCAGCTTTTGAGCGAGTAGGCGTGTAAAGTAGCCCAGTGTGAACACAGTTAAGCAACTGTTAAACCTCATACAGTTTTAATTCTGTAATAATCTGTAATTTGTAATACTTCTAATTGTGCTTGTGCGCATGTTATTCGAAGATGTCGGAGGATTTAGTTCAAGCCAGCTACTGAGCAAGTGGAAAAAGCATCGTGTGAACGACTACAAGCGCACTCACCGACGTCTTTCTACACGTCGGCGAGTTGGCAAGTGGACAAGCTCCGTGTGAACTAATACAAGCGCACTCGCCGGCTTCTTACACGCCGGTGAGTAGCGTGTAAACTCGCCCCGTGTGAACGAGGCTTTAAAAGATTTATTTAAAAAATAATAATGGTGGTTTGAGAATAATTTTATCAAATAAACTCTGAGGTTAACAAATGATCCAGCAGATTTGTTATTACTGATGAAAAAATACCATAAAACACAAAAATACCATAAAAGTATAAATCCCCCATTAAACATAAACATTCAAATACAAAGAAAATACATTTTATCAATCCTTAAAACATCAAATGGTCGACAGTTGGGGTGGAGGTTGATGGGAAATGTATATTATTTTACGTAATTAAATAAATACTGAGCTAAACCACTTACTATATCACAGTCATTTTCATGATTTAATTTAGTAACACATGGTAAACATTTAGATATAAAATAAGAATGGAGCCATAACCTTCCACTTGTGCCATAAGCGCAAGACTGGTGTTGGTTGTTTCAATTTGCATATATAATATTAATAAAGTGAATGATCCCTATCCCCTTAGTCCCCAATTCCTGAAAAGAATTAAAACATAATTTAGCAATAATTAATGACTACAACTTATCCGCTAGTTGGTCAGCGTTGGTCCCTCACAGACTTCCTGCCCATGACTGCCTATATCTCTTCTCCTCCCTACCCCACCCCTCATAGGGTATTAGACTGCAGCGGATTGAACCAGTTCATAGCGGATCAGCTGTGAAGCAAGCTTCACAAGAAAAACCAAATCTCATGTGCTCAAGTAACACGGAAACATCCTCATCTGTTTAAGTTATTTTATGTACCTTCAGAATCTCGTAGGTAGGAGAAGGGGCGACAATCTTAGCTGCCAGTTCCAAGCTGTTGCAGTTGAGAGGTGTAAGTCGTACAATCTCTTCCTTGATACTTAGGGCAGTTGAGATCACTGTAACTACTTCAGGACAATTCCAAGCTTGTTGTGTGCAAGGCCCCAGGGCGTGGAACAGCTGTTTTGTCACTAAAAACGTTACGTTACTCAGCCATATGTGTTTTTAAAAACATTTTTTGTTACAAAATTGAAAATACAGTTGGTTTTGTTCCTTAAATATTTTATGTTTTTGACATTGGTAAATCATACACAAATTCTATGAGATCATTAAAGTATGTGAATTAAATAAAGAGATTATCTATTTTTGACAATAGAGAAATGTCTATTTTCTATCATTATTTTTCAATCATAATTACACATCCAATGTCTTCTAATATTTATACTTTTATAATTGTGGCCCAGCAGTCAAAATTGCAATGATATCTACCAAGATTGCACAGTATTACCGATACCTCTAAGTGGTTTTGTTTACAATTAGGACTATTTTCTCTCTTTGGTCTTTACAATCCACAAAAGGAAATTTAGTCTAAAACACAATCATAAGACAAAATTATTAAATTTTTCGATTTGTAATGGCACTTTCACATTAGCATGCATATTTTAATGCAAGAAAGGCTGAAGTAGGAGTATTAAATGTATGAGATTATACAATTTGTATTGTTAACTAAAAACAGCTAGTGGTTTTGAGTTACCAGTTTCAACTATCAAAAAGCTTTTCTGAAGGAGGACCTTGTAATTGCCGTAACTGCTCAGAATGTGTTGCAATGAAGATTATTCAACTATCAAAGAATCTAAATTAATTCAAGCCGTAACTACACCGCACCTTTGACTGGAGTGTAGCTGTATACTTCTTCAGCTAGAACAGGCAGTATGGGCGCGACCAGTCGTGTGAGAGTGTTCAGTGTGTGGTAGCAAACCAGCTGAGCGGCTCTACGCCTCACTGAGTTCTCCTCATCACAGTACAACCTGCCGTAGCGCAACAAAAAACAATAAATATTTTCATTTAATAATTTCTTAACCTCTCATTTCTCTATTGTACGAGGAACAATTTAAAAGTAAGGGCCGTTTACATATAGCTCCTTAGTTCATGTGTATGCCACAAGGAGGCAGCTGCTGCTTACTGGTATCATTGGTGAACAGAGGCGTGTATTGTGTACACTTTCCTGTCTGTTTAGACCATTTTTTAAGTGATTGAATCTCCTGCCTCATACAAGATTAGGTCAGGGATACGCTTTTTGACCATGAGAAACATCCGATGCCGACATTCATCACTAGACAAAGACTGAAGGTTATGGCCCTAATACAATGCCCAAAAAAAAGAAAAAAAAAAGAAAGAAAGTTCAAAAAGAAAGTTAAGTGCGGAAATGGGGTAAAGTGTAAAAATTGCTGTGAAAATCTTTTTCCCTTTTATGGTCTATTGTGAAAAGTCTACTTACCAAAAACCTAATTTCTTCCAAAAATGGCCATATTCACAACCATTCTTAAACCCCCAGACCCATTTCTGCACTTTACCCTCAGTCATTGCATTAGGGCCATAAATTTCAGTCATCTGGTGATGAATATCTGCAGCCAATATGTTCTTTTGCATGTGCATATCGGCATTTATGTGTTGTTTTTTTTTGTGCGGTAAGGACTCCTTTTCCCATTCAGCCTGTTATCTGTTAAATCATAGACAAAAAGAATTAAATATAGACCGTCAGCTGTGCTGCGGTTACCATTGATTCTGGCGCACACTGCTGGGATCGCCACGGTAGTTACAGCGTACGCGCTACGTAAACTACAGCGATGTGCGCTGGAACTTATGGTAACCGCAGCACGGCTGACAGTCTATATTTCATTCTTTTTGTCTATGGTTAAATTCATTACCTAAATCTTAAAGGGAGCATGTTTAATTTATGGTATGGTCCATATGGCTAATGTATTGAATGATTACCCTGTGATTATAATTTTGTTAGTATTATTTTTTTTGTACAATACGAAGAGTTACAACTGAGCAAAACGTATCACTGTTCACATACCAACGGTCTTCATCAAAACAGATATACAGAAGATGATACATAACAAAATGTAACATGTAACATTTAAGTGACAAACCTGTCTTTTATTGAATGGCAATACAGCGAAGAGACTTCATTGGCGACAAAGTTCATGAGTGTTAGGCAAACTCTGTTGTATTGAAAGTTGTTGTAGTATTCCATTACCTGCAGGATAAATTGTCAATTAATTATTCGAAACAACAAAACTACAATTGTATATTTGATTCAGAAACAACCTAGAACTTCATGATGGAATGGCCTTTGGATCGTCTGAATGAACTAAAAGGTTTATATTACCTTGTTACTGCCCAAAACGATCCTTTGTAGTTTTTTCTAGGACTACTGTACTGCTATTTCGTGTTTTGGATGGAGCACATCATCAAGTCTGAAGAATGACAAGCCGTCATTCTTCAGACTTGATGATCTGCTCCATCCAAAGCACAAAACAGCTGTAGTCCTAGCTAACTAAAAAGGATCGTTTTGGACAGTAACAAAGTAATATAAACCACCATAGATAACATAGAACTGTTTTACTTTTAAACTTATGCATAGACCGTAATGCAAGTTTTCAGTTAAAACCAAAAGCTAATTTTCAATAAAATCGTTGAAAGGGAATTCAGAATTGGTGACGTTAAAAGGATACTTTAAAATATTTAATACATGACACTTAATTCCTTTATCTGGTTAATTGCGGACAGCAGATTCCTGCCATCGTGGATTGATCTGAGGTTGTTTTTGTTCTATCCTTAATTAGCATTGAGGACTGTGTTGCTGCCATCCCTAGTTGAATCTTTCAGTGATTCGAGCCTTCCGGTTTTATTATTTTATGATTATGTAAATTTGTAGTGTTTGAATCCTGAATGTAAATCTTCCTGGACCCAGTCAAAGTTTATATATATAAAAAAAACTAGTTTTTAAGCATTTAGAAAGATCTGAAGATAAAGCCTGACAACACCAAAAGTGGGAGCTAACAATAACACTTATTACATGGATTTTTTAGACTTTGACAATCTTAACTAACCCCTGTTTCATAATAAACTACAAAAATATTGTTAGTAAATCAGCTGATCGCCCAATGCAAATCTAATAGAAATTACAAGTTACAACTCGTAGTTTATTATAAAACAGGCCCCAGGTCAGTTTCTCTCGCCTTTTTACAGAGGACAAAATAAGATACTAACTTGAATTAGAGACCTGGCTCTGCAAGTGGTTGATGACAAACACCATAACCAATTACAAATAAGTGGTAAAAGTCCTCGACTCACAATCAAAAGTTTGCCTGTTTGATCCTGAGAAAAGAGGAAGCTTTTTGATGGTTCAAAACTGTGTCCTTTGTCATTGGTCTTTCAAAAAATGTTCCTTGCAAAAGAAACAGATGCCTCTAGTTAGTTACAAAGCTAGGCGAGTCATCTCACTTCATTCTACACTCACCCTGCATTCATTATCAAAGAATTGATTGTTCGATACACTCAAAAATGTGTTTCTGTAATGTATATCAAAGTCACTTTCTACAGATTTAAGGCTTTAATTATTTTAAAATTAAAATATTGTATCTAAGACTGTTGCTTACCTGTTTCTCCAAATTGTGAAGACAATGCAACAAGTAACTGTCCAGGAGGTTCAAAGACGGAGGCTTGCTGTGGGGTGGCAGTTTGTCCAGTGTTCCCAGTAGGAACTTGAAGATCATCCGCAGTCGTTGTACAGACGCCTTGCTGTCGGACAGCGTGGTCTCGGAGACTGGAACTGTGTGTTGTGTCGCATGAGCAGCCACCCACCACCTGCCATTATCATTTGTGTCATTTCATTGTGTTAAAAAACAAAATAACACGTAAAGTCATATACTCAACGTGATGCATAGACACAATTTAAATCAAGAAATGCTACGGACAAGCCTTTTATAAGGCTTGAGTAGATTAGTGTAAATACGCCCCCCTTGGTATTGAATAAATAAACTACTATATCATTAAACTATTTGTGAAGTGGCCATGTGTTTTTCAACACCTATAGTGTTGCAACTTCAATTTCTGTTGAAAAGTGTGTCCACTGCTATTTCGTTACATAAAGTAAAACTAAATTTACATAAAATATTATTTTTTTAACTTGATAGAAGATGTTTTTAGTTAACCTCAGCTCAACCACACAAGTTTTTTACCAAATACAGGCAATCATGTGTATCTGTAAAACTGGTTGTTTACTTTATGACTATTGGTAGAGATACTGACTATAGTACCGGTACTTCGCTTAAACTTGCTATTAAAAAGTATGTCAGTTTGACTCATTACACAGGCAGTAGTTACTCATTTTAACTTTAGAATATGGATTTTTGGTTTATCTACAACAGCACACTGTTTTTGTTTGTATGAATGCATAAATATACATAGATGTACATACTGGATGAATTAACCAATATTTCCAAAATAACCATACACTCAATTACTTTTAGAAGTATAATTTTATACATATTAGTTTTTTTTATGGATGGCAACATTTATTTTTGAAAACCATAGCCTATTTTGATTTGAAATCATCAGCCTCAGCATCAAGTGACAATGAACATGATAACGTCATCATAGTTAAAGTTAAGTCAACAGTACCTCAAAACATCCAAGCCATAAATAGGATGCTTTTTAGTATTCTTCCCTCCATAAACAATGTCTTGTGGGTTGACAACATTTCCTAGAGATTTGGACATCTTGTTGCCTTTCTCATCCACTGCAAATCCATGATAAAATATGGTCCTGAAAGATTTAAAGATTTCAGTTAGGTTCTCAAAGCAAAAAGAGGTGCTGAAGATATCAATAGGTGAAAGAGAGTAAAACTTATAGTGTTAATGTCAAGACTTATGAACCTCTTTATTAATTAGCTAGGTACATTTATCTATATATTAATAGGCGAGCATGCTTCTTTAAAACCTTTTTCCTCAGCTCGTGTGAATCGCAGGGAAAATCTACGCATGCTGTTAGAAAGATATTTGCCTGTAGATGTGCAAAATCCCTTTATAAACTAAAATAGGCTCAAAATCAATAGTTAAGCTTTTTTAAGCTGGTAAACTTTAACAAAGTTAACTCTGAAATACCCCCGCCGCAGCAAACCTGCCGACTAAGCGAATTTCCATTTGTCTTAATCGATTATCAATTAAATATATTTTAATAACATTAGGTTTAACCAGTACCTCGGTTTGCTGCTACAAGGAAACTAATAAAGTGTGTTTTTTTGTAAAATATTGATAGCTTAGTACAAAATAAATAAATTTGATCTAAATACAAAATATATCCATAAACAAGCAAACTACAACATTTGACAATATTCTCCATAAGAATAACATGGGAATTTTAAATTTACAATTTTTTTAATTTTCTCCGTTACTATTAACTGAACAAAAATACTTTTATATACTAAATTAATTGTTTTTTTAAGCTATTTAAAAAGGTCTAAAGAGAAATTGGGAAATTTTGTGTTTTGAGGGTCAAAAGTGAGAAAAACCAATTTTTACCCCATAAAACCCCCCGTAAAGCCCCGTTCCCATGGTCCGATCATGCTGGTTCGCGAACTCATTCAAGTTTATCCCGCTTAACACCTTTAAACCAAATTTCATCAAAATCGGACAAAAATTACTCAAGTTATCGCGTTCACGGATGTATATATATATAAGTCTATATATATATATATATAAATTTGAACGAACGGTGTTTTTGGCCTCTGGGAACATCAAAATGAAAAAGTAAATCGTTCCCGGGTCTAGGTCTTACCGTGCCACCTACGGTAATAGCTACTTCCCTATAGGGAAATTTGCTAAAATGAAAATAACCATACTTGTATGGAGGCGTCTTGCGGAGGGCGACAGAAGTGATGAGTGACGACTGGAACCATCCGTTAAACTGGTCCAGACCTTCCAAGTACAGATCAGCTGACTGACCACTTTCCAGTGCTGCTGACCACGACAGTCCACTGTCCAGCCATATGTCCAGAACATCCTACACACAATCTACAGCTGGCAATGACGAACAACTAATCATGAATACCTACAACAGTTAGCGACCCTATTGACAAATTATATTTCACTTCAAAGATACTGTAGTTAAAAATATTAAAAACGACAATAGCTCAAAATGTTGGTTAAAATGGGAAATCCCTAAAAACATATAAAAATTAAGTGTTATTCATTTGGAATTTTATAGGCTTAATCATTATTTTGAAGACGTACATGCATTATTTATAAAATATACACTTTTCTCCTTTTTCGTGTTGATAGAAAAGGCACAAATAAACACAAAAACACGGTTAAGTCAAATACTTTCAGTGGAATAAATTATAGTTGTAGGCAATAAAAATTACGTAATATTAATTAAATGATTTTCAAATCTATCGTAATACAGTACAGAACTTTTTGTCGAAATTAAAGGTAGAAGCAACCATTTAGCTACGTGGCACGGTGGTTATTTATAGCCTCTCACTGGAAGCTCAAGTCACAAAAACTATCTTGACCTAGGAGTCGATAACCCTCCTCCCTTGCTCACCCTACAATTTGCGTTTTTGTTTACTCTAGCGATAAAGTAATGCGAGATTATATTACAAAAATAGCAGTTGTTTTCAGAAACATAAATATTTTTGGGTAAAAACAAAATACCTTTGTTCTTAGTCACATCCTGTGGAGATAAGCGGTTCTCATCGCCGAGCGTGGGAGTGGAAATGCCGAGATTCCTAGAAAGTGACGGTTAAACCGAACTGCTCTCAAAGCAAGGTGGGTTAAAACAAACTGAAATATTTTACGATTGAGGGTGGATGGTCCAATTATCGATGAATGCGAGGTCAGTTAAGAGGGGGTCTACTGTAAGATAAAATTTAACTGTATTGTACCTGGCCCTTCTCCACATCACTGGGGGAAACATTGAGCTTGTCCAACAGCTGAGCTGGAGCTAGATTAGATACTGAACTGCTCCACCAGAAGTCATCTCCTTCGGACTCCAACAGATTGCAGTAGTGATCCACCAGCTCTCTGAATAACATACAGAACATTGTAACAACATCAAAATGTTAAATCACAAGATTTTAATCCAATATAATCTGTACCGTGTGAAAAAGGGAATAAAACTAATTGATTTGATGGTAAAATCAAGAGTACATATTATTTAAGTTACCTGATCTGAGGGATCTGAACGGAAATTTAATTCACTAAGAAACATCAAATGAATGCTAGGGATGGATTGTATACTTAGAGAAAATTTGCTGATAAAGATGGGTAAAAGTTAAAAATGTACAACTTATCTACGATTTCCAGTCCTTATTCTTAATTACCAGATGTTTAATTATTATTGTTAATAAATGGGACGTTAGCGTCGTCCTGTAATCCAGCTACTTGGAGGTCAAAAATTGTGGATATTCATAGGCATGCACTGTGGATGCTATACTTCCTGGTGTGGATTAACGTCTGCACTAGTGAGTACTAAGACAATCTGCAGTACCATCCTGATAATTAGACCAATTCACTATCACAAGGAAAAAATTGGGTTTGGATTCCACTATAAGATGTAGGTCCCTTAGTTGCCTTTGGCTGCATAGGCTATTAATCAGCAGCTGTGTCTAAGGAACATGCCGAACAAGACTACAAGATCGCACCACTCATCCTACAATCATCCTTAGATTAAAATACTTACACTCGTATGGTCGCCATTTCAGAATAAAGTATTAAAGTTTTTATTTCCATTCTGGATGTTTCTTTCATTAAAAGCAGTTCTAATATTTTTCAATCCATTATTTATTTTGTTATTACCTATAAATAGAGTCCACTTATTAATTAAAACAAATTTTTTCTGTAGCTTCAAGCAACCAACAGTATTTTAGCAATTACCTTATTTTCATTCTCTTCGTCTCGGATTGGGCCTGATAATGTTAATGACTGGTGGGACTAATCAAAATTAAAAGTTAACATTTACTAGTACAGTATTGCTGTTTTGTAACTAATTAGTAATTACAGTATGAGAGTAAACACATTGATTATTGTTGGAAGAAGTTTATATTATCCATACAATAGCCCATAATTAGGCTACACTATTCAAAAAGTCATTTTTATTTTCACACAACCAAATTAACAACACTTGGTCCCTATGAGAACTCACTGTGTGATGAGAGGTTGACCGTCGGATGTGTACAGGACAGGTATCGGCACACCCCAGGTCCTCTGGCGTGAGATGCACCAGAACGGACGGTTCTGTACGTACCCTGTCAGCGACGCCAGGCCTTTCTCTGGCATTACCCTCACTGTCTGAAGACACTCCTGCAATCAGATGTTCTGTTGTTAAAAATCCGAGCTATACGTCTTCATTTAAGTACACCAGAGGTAGTGTATAGCACCTTCTAATCAGCACCTTCTAATCCGAAGTACAGTAAACCTTCAATAGTTCGACACTGCTTGAAGTTCGAAACGGGCTGAGGCTACCTGTCTTAACATTAGCGATCGATATTTTGTTTTGACAAGTACGCCAGACAATGACCGGGTCCAGTTCTTACCAGTTATCAGAGTGAAAAAAGATCACAAAATATTTTTTCAAGTGGACATTTAATGGTTACTAATGTGATGTAAGTTGACTTGAACATTAATTTGTCATGTATTGTTGACCTGAGACTAATGAACAGTGAAATTGTTGAGCTTTTTAGTATTTAATAAATTTGGGTGATTTCTATATAAAACTTGTATTTTTACTTTCCTGTATATTAAACTCCATTTACTCCCTATAGTTTGACATTTCAATAGTTTGACACCCCTTAAGTCCACAGTGTCAAACTATTGAGGTAATAGCTACTGTAATTGGGACTAGACCATGTTCATATTGCCAGATTGTTTGGATTTCCTTAAATGCAGTGAAATTGCTTAACAATTTTAAACAATTTCTTTTGACAGTAGTAAATTACCATATCAATTTCTCCTGTGATTACCACAACACTATGATTGTCTCTCGCAATCACAAAAACTATGTGATCGTCTCCTGTGATCACGACAACACCGTGATAGTCTTCTGATAGTCTTCTTCTTACGACATGGGGATTTTAAAAGGGATCCAATGAAACACCGTTAATGAATGGGCGCTCGACCATAGGCTTTTGACTATTATTCCAAATTGTCCACTGATGAACCAAATTTATTTACAATTTAAAATTCCTTCCCAAACTCACGTACAATTCCTAGTTGGCTCGACAATTGGTTAGTATTACAGTACGAATAGCTTTGTCTTTAATTTGAAAGCAGTAAAATTGACTTCCCTACTGATGTTTTGGATTAGCATCTCTGGTGGTTTATTTAGGAGCTGCCTCCTAAGCTACTCAGGGAGTCTATAAATTGAAATTTGTACAACACTTTACCATCTCAGATTTGAACCCATCCTTAAAGGGTTCATTTGACAGAATAAGTAGATTAGTATTCGGTTCTAAACAATCTTAGTGTAGATGATAAAGAAATTATTTTTCATTAATTTTTTTATGATAAATATGATGATTTATAGGTTATGAGATATCAATTATTAATCATTAAAATGGGGACGCCCCCTAGGTGTGTATTTTAACCCAAATATGAGTGAAGGATGAGTGTAGCTTTGCTACTGACTAAGATCAGCTTTTTCATTAGGCTACGTTTACATCGGAGGCACGCTTGGGCAAGTAAAATGGTGGCGCACGCTTGGCCAAGCTTGCCCTTTGAAACAAAATTGTAGCAGATTACTGGAAACCAGTGGCGACTTGAGCAGTGGTGGTTACAGTGCTCGCCACTAGCAAGCGCACACTGGGACAAGCTTGCGCTTCTCAAATCACGAAACAAAAATATTTGTTTCTACAAGCAAGCGTGCCTCAGTTTGTTGTGTTTCATAGACACAGTAGCAGCGGTTGTGTCTGTTGGTAAAGTGTTTATAGTTGTTCAGCATGGATACGGAGGTGTTGATTGATGCTGTTCGTGCAAGAAGACCAATTATATAGGATAAATTAGTTTCAGGCTACAACCAGGGGTTCCCATCGCCTAATTAATGATTGTAATTCATGCATTTTCCACCAGATTTTAGTGATTAATTTGATTTTTTGAACAGTGGAAAATAACACAGTAATAATTTGTTTTTATTCATAACATAATGTAATAAATGTAATAACACACACCCTCGTTTTAATCATAAAGAAAAATAATTTCAATTACTTTATGACTTGTAATGCGATTATCTGTCAAAATTAAATTGTTTTCTCCTAAACTTAATTGCCTTCATTAAGATTTTGTTAATTAACAATTAAGATTGTTGGTATTATGTGTACTAAAATAGACCCTACCAATAAGGTAAATAATTCATTAACAATAATGGTAGCACAAGTGTAAATATATTTGATTAAATTATGCAAGTCGTAGGCTTATTTGAATTGTTAGCAATAACTACTACAGTAATACTGCACATATAATGCCCTTTCAATTACCTTAACGTAACCATCAGCTTTTCTTCGGGAGAGATACACTTCCTGAAGTTGGAATGCTTTTCAATATTTGGTGTTATTCTCTCTAAAATGTAGTAAAATGTTTCTGGCGTCATTCTAAAATATTCATAAAACTTATCTGGCTATTGCAGAAGATCAGCAAAAATCCGGGCATACTCCCTTCCTTCTTCTCGATCCATAAAAAAATCATTTACCCATTCCCCCCTTACTCGTTCAGAGTCTAATAATAATAAAAACTTTACAACTCCATTCTCTAGCACAATATCCTCATCGTCTGACATGTCAATTTTGACTGTACTGTCCTGCTGAGGCTAGTGGCACTTGCGCTTGGTTGCTCGTAATATAACCACAACTTGGGGCACGGCACGCTTGCGCAAGCGTGCGCTACCATTTTACTTGCCCAGGCGTGCTTCCAATGTAAACGCAGCCTTAGACAGGATCACTTATTTAAAGCCAAATGACCAGGAACAGCTGGGTCCAGGTTTTAAACCATCAAAAAGCAACGGACTTTTCTCAGTACAACACTAAATTTGTGACAGTCAACACATTTTTGAAACACCCTTGAAAATTCGTTTTTGAAGATAGGCCTACTATATATCATTTACAATTTTAAATAAATCCATGAACCTTACATCTTGTTGAAATAATAAGTTCATCAAATAAAAAGTAGTTATAAAGGAAATAATTACTGTATTAAATAAACAATACCAGACCTATAGGCATGGTAATCAGTAAAAAGGTTATCTTATTAGGCCTAGGCTATATTAAACAACTTCTGCAAAAATTATGACAGCTAGCCTGACCATACCACTGGAACGAATTACAGTGGGTTGTACCAAAAGAAAGGTTATCGGCCCTTAAAGTGCAGGTTTTATTTGTACGGTTTTATTGAATCAGCGATGTGTTATTGCTAAAACCAATAATAAATACTTTCTAAAAAAAAGGAAAATGGTTTAAATAGCATAGCCAAGAAGATAAAATTGAAACAAAAAGTGATGTTGACACTCACAACAGCCTGCTGCTTGACTTGTGCAGTGTCCAGGAACCACTGTTTGCTGGCTCGCAGAATGACTGGGAGGTTAGTCCTCCAATCGTACGGGTACGAGTGTTTGAAACTTTCCTTGTGAACCAGCACATCCCGCTCTTTACAGAGATTCAACACCTAAAAGCACAAGTCATTAGAAGCTGTTTAGGAAACACTGTAACAATGGTTAGATTAGAATAATAGACCATGAATTCTGAGATTTTGCGTATTTTGATCCGGCATTGTACGACCAACTCCTAAACAACTTTTTTTATTTTGAGGTTTACCCTTGCCAGTGGCATTTTTTGAGTAGTCTGATGCACCTGAGTGCGTAAAAGCATTTTCTCTCCCTAAAAAAGTGGCATTTTAAAATTAGGGAATGGTTTAAAGCTTGGTCTCGTTTCTAACATCAAAACTAACTTGAAACCTGCCAACGATATTACCTTTGCTGTTCCATGAGTAAGTACTTCTTTTCCTTTAAGTTCATCTCCTGCTTCAGCTGTATAGCTACCATTTTCATCCACCAAACAAGTCTGAAAAAATACCAAGAGAATCCTAAATTAGATCTCAAGTTCAATTTCAGCAGAGTATTTATAAAGTATTTTTGTCCTTATTGATTATTCCAGTCTTTATTAAGGATTGTGAATCATGTAATATTCACAATATCTAAAAGATCACTTCAAACAACTGACACTATTACTATGATTTAAATTATTTGAATTCTGTAATATTTGGGATGTAAGCAGTTTCTGAAGACAGCTGTAAGAAAACGTAAGTAATAAACGGTATCAGCAATCTGACACATACTTTCTCCCATTAGCTTGTCAACAACCTTTATCATGGAAAAGCGATGAGAATAACTATGGTATTTAATAGGTAAAATCTCAAAAGATTCATTAACTTTTGAACAGTAATTTTAACAGGAATGAAGTGATGCACTATTTTGTTTAGAATTATAAGGACCATAACAGAAGGATTTCAATCAGAATAGTTTTTTTCCGTTTTCTGTTTCCAGAAAAATCCATTTTTCCGTTCTTTTTAAATGGGTTTTTATGGGAAAATAACATAAGTTACAATAACTTTTGAGCCATAATTTTTACAGAAATGGGGGGTTGCAATATGTTGTTTATGGAATTATAAGTATTGCCACATACTAGTTTCAATCTAAACCGGTTTCTTTCGAAAATACGATTTTCTCTAATTTTATGGGGGTTTTTTATGGGAAAATAACATAATTTACAATAACTTTTGAACCGTAATTTTTACAGACATGGGAGTTCTACCATTTGCTTCAGAATTTTAAGGGCTACAACATATTAAATTTTCATCAAAATCGTTCAGGCCATTTTTGAGAAAATCAGATTTTTCCGTTATTTTAAATGGGTTTTTATGTAAAAATTGACATTCAAAATCAAAATTTCAAAAAAATTAAAAAAAACACCTGGAGATACTATGGATTAGTACCTGCATACCAAATTTAATCAAAATCGGACTACAGGTGTGGTCTGTAGCTCTGTACACATCCAGACACAGACATTCCTTCGAAAACTACTTTTTTGGGTCCAGGGGGACCCAAAACGGATATATCCACTCAAAACTCAAACTCGAAAATTTTGACGAAAACAATACTTTCTCCATAGGCCTATACTATGGTATAGAGGAGAAAGTAAAAATTAGAGGTTGCTTAAAACTTAGTGGGTATAAAACAAACATTGATACAAATGTTTAAATATAGGTTAGGTTAGCAATTAAAACCACAAGCAATAAAATGTCTTTGAAATAACTGCACAGATAACATTTTGAAGTGGTTAAGAAATATTTAAATACTTTTTACTAAATGTACAAATTAAACAGGGAAAATTGATGCTCGCATGAAGGATTGATTTTGTGGTGGATAGGTTTAACTGCTAGCAGCCTTAACTTTTTGACAAAAATACCTTTGATGTGATCTCAAGGGAAAGACTGTACTGCTCAAGAAGGAGCTAGTAGCTCCAAACATTCTATGTGTTTTTTCCACATTTTCATCTATTTTGGTCAATAAGGTAAGCTAGCTGTTAAACCTACACACAAAAAATCCTTAAAACCCCTGAACTAAAGCTATCTTTACAAAAAAATGTAATAACCAGTAAAGTTATGAGATATTACCACTTCTGTAAAGCATTTGGTGCAGTTAAGCTATATGCTAAAAGCAAATAAATGAATATAGGCCTACTCAATCTCTTTCCTGTACATTTTAAAATAAAAAAATTAACTAAACTTTACAAACAAATATCTCTAACATCACGGCATTATTTGAAAAAGTTCCTAATTTTTTTTTAAATCTCAAAACACCACTCTATAAACAGAGAAAGACATCCACTGTGCACCACTAAAAAAATATCACTAAACATTAAACAATGCTACTCAGAGTTGAAAACAAAATTGACTGTACAACAACTGTTACCGTCTAATATCTACTGTAACAACGACTTACGATGGACAAGTTGTACTTGACAGCTAATTTAAAGTCGTCAGGTCCGTGAGCAGGGGCTGTATGTACCAGTCCTGTCCCTTTGCTTGCTGTTACATGCTCGGAGGCCAGGAAAGGTAATGTCTTGCCATCGTACACAGGGTGATCATACTGTAATGTCGGCAACACATTTCCTGCAAACAAAAATACAATGAATGGATAAGATTTCAAATCACACACTGTATGTAGTGTGTATAAAATAAATTTAATTACAAAAATAAAGAGATTCGGCAACTTTAGAGAACTGTTACAACACAACTATAGTAAAAAGCTTAAAAATTCATACATTTTTAAAAGGTAAATTTTGAAGACTTTACACTTGTTAGGAAAATTTAAAATTAAGTAACATGTCCATGGACAGTAAAACATTGTCTACTACAGCAAGGTTTTCTCCACTCAGAAGTTGCACAAAGATGATTTAATCACATTCAAGGAACCTGAATTCTAGCTGCTCCGCCAGCTTCATTTCCTGGAAAATATATTGCTATATGCAGCTTTACGAAGATACAACAAAAAAAGTCATCAATCAAATCGAAAAACCATTAAAAGTACTCACCATCAACTTTATTAGTGATAGAAACTTTTTTTCCAATGGTTGACGCCAGTTCGTCAACGAGCACCTTCGCTACTAGGTAATGTCCCTGTAGACCTTCTATGGTCACCAGACTGTACTCGAGGGTGGGACTGTACGCTACGGCCTGATTGGCTGGTAGTGACCAGGGAGTTGTTGTCCACAACAATGCATACACCTCACCCCACGTAGCCGGAGCGTTTGTCACGCGAACACGCACGTGCGTTGATGTGCTTACGTGGTCCTCTTTATACTCAAGCTCTGACTCTGCTAAAGCTGTCCTGAGAATCAAATATGAGCAGTCAAATGGTAAATAACATTTTTCAGTGTATTGATTGACATTTGAATAATAATATGTTATGTTATTATCTAAATACTTACTTTGAGGAAGGAGACCAATAAACTGGTTTGAAATCTCTAAATATTATCCCCTAGAACAAAAAAAGGTAAAATAAATGTACTATACACACTTTTGTAATACATTTTGATTTTGTCTTTCATCATAATATAAGTGCTGAAAAACATATACAGTAGAACTCCAACTATCCAAACTCCATCTATCCGAAACACTTTAGAAAAACATAAAACCACAGTAATAAGAATTGTTGTTTACGAAGGCGAAAGCTTTGATCACAGCAAATTCCAAAAACTCTCAGTACTTTTTTCATAACTGTCACAAAAGTGTCCTCATTGTTTTTCACAATTGCAGCAAAATCTTACACACCTTCCGCGGTCTTGCAGAAATCATCATCTTCTCCAAAAGACATGGAAACATCATAATCGTCTTCTGTAATCGTGGCAAAAAGTAAAATATATCCAATGAACATCATCATCATCTCCCGCGGTCACAGAAGCAACATAATCTTTTCCGCGATCGGGGAAAAATCTCGCACATCTTCCAATGTCTTAGAAATCATTATCGTAACCTGCGGTAACGGTCATATTTTTCTGCAAGTGCTGCAAAATCTGAAGATCTTCCTCGGTCTTGTGGACATCATCTTCGTTTCTCCTTCGGTTAAGGAAAATAATCACCCTCCGAGGTCTTGGCAAAAGTTTGAATTTTTTGAACTCGAAAACTTTGTACACATGTTCTACAATTGGAATAGTAAAAGCTCAGCATGCCTCGGTTTATTTTCTGTGTAATACCTCAAATTTCTGTAAATAAACCAAATTATCCGAATTGTTGACTATCCTAATGCGTTCTGGTACCAATTAATTAGGATATTTGGAGTTCTACTGTAGTGTGAGTTTAATGAGTTGGTGGGTTAGTACCATCCGCAGAAGCTATTATCTAGGTATGATAATACAGATTGCATTCAGTAATTGCATTGGCAACATTACTCAACTTTTCATCAGACCACTTACAATTTTTCAACTCTGTCGTATACAGTAATGGAGTCACTGTATTTCAATTTAGAAATCAAACAATTAAGCATAAAATATAAATATTTTCTTTAACCATAGGTATTAAACAAGTTAGGAGACTAGGAACAATTAAAGGAAACAGAATTAAAAATTTAAGACTACCGTAGAGAAAAACCAGTTACCTGATTATATAATTTCAAAAACTGCTGAAGCTCATTTTTGACGTATGATTTGTCAAAGGTGTAATAACATTCCTTTTCCCAATCAGCCATAACACCCCATGACTTGAAAACTGCTTTTTGATCTCTTATTGCTTCTTTGGCAAACTTGCGGGCTGAAAAGGAATAAAATAATTTATTTTTATTACTGAAAGGACCAGTTATGGATAAAAAACCAGAATGAGTAGGCTCACAAAGTCATAAAAGCTGAACATAAGTTCAAATTGGATCAAAAATATTGTTCAGAATCAATAAATTAATGTTGAATGTAGAAAAAAATGAACAAACCTTTACTCCGAATTGTAAGAGGAGAGAGATTTGCAACATTTTCACCCGCCATTGCCTTGAGTTCTATTGGTAGTCCATGACAATCCCAACCTGGCTTGTAGTGGATCCGGTGGCCTTGAAGGAGTTTATTTCTTATGGTGATGTCTTTTAATATCTGTGTAAAGCAATAATGTTTTGTTAAACATTTTCTAGGTTCTGCACTTTCTTTTGGATCAGCCTGGTTTAAAAGATTCAAATGGTTCCTAAAATTGTCATAGATTTTTTATCAGATTTTTCTCTGAACATATTATGTATGCATGGTACATCATGAGCGTGTGAGTTCATTAAATATACTTATAGCTACATATTGGCACATTTATTGTTTATTCGTTACACTTCTTTTTAACGCTTTTAGAATTAAGTTTAGCTGCCAAAACACTCTTGCTATTAATAAGTGCCTGCCACAAACCGCCTTAGAACTAGTTTTCATAATTCTTTGTACTTAGAAAACAAAACAAAAGAAAAAGAGAAAAATCTGTAAACTTTGTCATTTTTCTAAATCTATTGGTCCTCGCCGACAAGTTTTGTAAACTTGGCGAGGCCATGCTTGTAATATCCTAAATAAATAGCCTATATTTGAATTTGAATTTGGCCACACTATGCTGTGGAATTCATCTTGTATGCTTGTGAAACTAATGAAGATTGAAAAATTGCAAGGAAGGTTGCAATCTGATAGAACACATAAGGCCCTAAATTGAAAACTGAAAAAAAACATTCTAGGCCTAGCTGTATTTTTGAACAAATTTTAAAATTAAAATAAAAACGTAGGCAGTAAATGCTGAACCAAACAAAAAAATTTACTTATCGATAACTTAAGTAAGTTACTATATCTAAGGTGTTAGTTTTGTTTCAACTTAACTTAGAGAGCCTCAATTTTATAAAAGCTACAACAAACCTTATTGATAGCATGACCCATGTGTGCCAACCCATTTGCATATGGTGGACCGTCGTGAAGGACATATTCTGTTCCTTTGACATTCTCTCGCTGCCAGTTGTATAACTCGTTAAAACCACATTCCTGCAAGCATCAGACAGTTTTTTGTCAATGAAATGCTCTACATTTAAATTGAGTCACTAAAAGAAGCCACCACACTAAATAGGCCTACCCCCGCCGAAACAAACCTGCAGACTAAGCAAATTTCCATTTGCCTACATGGATTTTCACTAAAATCATAGATAAAAGGAGTATAGACATATATAAGGACATATAAAGGAGTATAGAGTATGTCTACTTCTTTTAATCTATGCTAAAATATCTCCTTAAAAATGCCATATCTCATCACTATTTAAATAACATTAAGTTAGTTTAATGAGTACTTAGGTTTGCTGCTACAGGGAATGTAATATCATTATTTTATTGTTAAATGTTAAGGGACTTTTCAGAAGAGGGCCGTGGTTTAGGCCTATGTTAAACTTAGGTGATTTTTGAGCTTTGGGATTATTTATGTGCCCAGCCCTACAAGGTCTGTGCATGAGATCCATTGGCCTATTGACTGGGGATCAAAGGGAAGAATAGGTTACCATAGTAAAAAGGATCTCATGGTTCACTAAGAAGCTGGGATTTGACGGAGAATGAGGGTGCACAATAAGTTGTCCCAGCTGCGATGCAATCCCATGGTCTACATATAAGCCTGGCCCTCTGTTGAAAAAAGTCAAACGTTTTAAAGATTTTTTGGATTTGAATACAGTTCTGGAGAGCACCAACAACATTTATTCGGATGAATAACGATAAATATCGGTTTGATATAAATAAGTCGTATTAAATTTAATCATTAAGGTTATAAACAATAAAAACAATAACAAAATCTATAATTTTTAAGTTTTTTATTTTTTTATTCTTAGTTTTTTCTTTTGTTTGATTAATTTTCATGAAATATAATTTGTTTTTGGTTAAATATTGATAAGTTAGATAACTTAATTTATTAAATATGAATAAAAACATTAACAAATCACAAGTGGATTGACTTAGATGTTTAAATTGAGGAAAAAATTAACAATATTTTGCAATCAATTTATTAAATTGGATAAATAGGCCTATTGATATAATATCGCTATTCATAAATTAAAATATGGTTGGTTCTCTGTGGAAATCTACCCTTTGATTTCTGTAATTAATGGATTAAGTTAAAGTAGATAAACTTACTGGTATGTCAATTTGATAGCAATCAAAATCTGAAGAATTACAGGGTCAATTACATAGGCTACATAGGCCTAGGTCTAGTTAAAAATTGATAGTGCATCATAGTTAGCTTATATGATTTAATCTTTAATCTTTTTAAACCTCTAGCTAGAGTCGCCTACACATACTAAATTGATTATGACTACAAAACAATTTTGTTCTATAAACAAAAAAGTTACGTACGGTATGTCTTAACTTGTAACGACTAAACTTAATACTCACATTCATAATTTTTTCATCTTGGTGCGTTCTTTTATTCCCCTTTAACCACAGGGGGAAATCTGTTTTAGGTAAAATAATTGAGCTGTTTATTTTAGTTTTCTCTTGTCCTGCAACTTTCTCAGCAGACTTGTGTTTTAACGATTTCAAACAGGTGCATCGAAGCAATTTGGAAACAGATAATAACTTTGAATAGGAATACATCGTGTTATCTTATTCAATTTCAATGGAATATAGAAATTACCAACATACACTCCCAGCCTAATGTATGGAGACTAAGCTATAACATAATAACATGCAAGTTAATATTTTACAAAATGCTAACTTTTAAAAGCGATATTGTGAGAGTTAACACATTGAAGATATATTGGCAATGGGTCTTAAATATTTATTCTTTATATATTAATACTCTATCTTTTAGTTAATTCCATAATTATTAAAACTCCGGCAACATTATTCTTATTATAACCTAAGTAACTATAAATAATAAGACCCTTTTTACCGAAGTTGACCTAACCTAAAACACAAATAAAAACAAAAAGACGAAATTGAAATTGTAAACAAAGCAAAACTGTCACATGGAGTAAATAGAGTTGACTAGAAACAACATTTATTGAAACTAAACTTAATCCTAAACTTAGTCCGTATGACAGTTTTGATTAAATACCTAATTATTAATGTTTATACATAAATCAATCTTTGAACACAAATTGTTTGGTATAGTATTTTGATTGTTTTTCAAATATTCAAAGAAAAAACATTGAAATGACTTTAAGGTGGCGTGTTTATAGTGTTGTCTAAAATATTAGTTTATGTGAAGTTGTAGTATTTTTTGATTTTTTAATCCATGGTAAAAGTAAGCTAACTTAATCAGCAAAAGTTTGGAGTATGGCCAGAAAAGCAGAGGATTCGTTTATAGTGAGTTGAATTTATAGTTAATGGTAAAATAAAAAATGTACAGACAAAACAAACTTCAAATAAAAACTGAATCCATAATGATTAAAATGAAATCTATTAAAGATAGTGACTCAGAGGTTGAAACATGTGGGAAGAAAGCAAAAGCGGAATAACAGTGGGACCAAGTGGCTAGTGTCACCGACAATAGACCATCATAATTGAGGAGGTAGCTGCAATAAGGGCCTATGGATCCATAGGCCCTTTTTGCGGAGAACGTTTCTTTCAATTCTACACATGTTTGTTGGTATACCTGCAAAGTTTCATATTTGAATCTGAAGTATTTTTTTTTTGTACAGCTGTTATAAGAAAGTTGTGTATAGGCCCTTCTTGCATAGATCGAGGTTAATGACACTGAATGTTATGTATATGGTGTCCCACGAAGGGGTTTAAACGTTTGATTTTATATTACGCGCCCATTCATGCACCGAACTTTTTGAAACTTTACACAGTTTACAAGGTAGGTTTTAAAAATATTCTCGAAAAATTTCAACTCCCTAACCTTAGTAGAAACAAAATGGCGGCATATTGAAAAAGTTACTTTAAAACATTAAAAAAGGTATTTTTGGTTTTATAAAATATTTTTATTGTTACTTTCCAGGGCAATATGACTTTAAAACAAGAAAAAATTAGAACATAGCCAAATGGAAAACTAAAAATTAATCAAATAACTAATAAATAATAATAATAAATAAATAACTAATAATAAATCATGAAAGTAGTTTTTATAGAAAGCACATTGGTAAATTTGTCAATAAGCCGCCATTTTGTTTCTACTAAGGTTAGGGAGTTGAAATTTTTCCAGAATATTTTTAGAACCTACTTTGTAAACTGTGTAAAGTTTAAAAAGGTTCGGTGCATGAATGGGCACGTAATATAAAATCAAACGTTTAAACCCCTTCGTGGGACACCCGGTATGTTATGAATGTTATTATGTTTGTTTTGTTCAGTTTTGGAGTGTGTTAGTGACCCAACAATAGGAATATTCAGTTTATTTTATTCTTTAACATCATGCTAACTACTAAATCTACTATTTTGGACACTTTTAAGAAGAAGGGTGCTAAGAAGAAAAGTGAAAATAAGGGAGAATGGGCTCGAAATACTAGAAAACGTCAGAGGTTATTAAATTAAATTAAATTGTAGAGACATTGAAAGATAAAAGTATTAGATATCCAACTAGCCTATGACTCACTTTTTTATTGTAAAATAAAAGTGTTACATTTTCAACTATGACTCATATTTTACTGTGCAGCCTACCTTTTTTTCTCTTACAGGTTACACTATGATTTTATTATTTTTAATTACTGAGCCGGTAAGATGTCATTTTAAATTTAAATTTTTCTTATCAAACTGTTAGAAATTGCCTAAGAAAACACATGTTTTATGCTTTAACAGATCATATAAATATTGGTCAATGCAAAAAGGGCATGTAAAAACTTAATCTATGCAAAAAGGGCCCATTCACTATTTCACATAAACAAAAAATACTTAATAGCCTGATATTGTTATTAAAAAACCATGGTAACAAAATTTGCTTCAGGTTCTAAAGAATATGGAGAAGTATTCCAAGTTAGATTCTTAGTAAATGCAATATTTATGCAAGAATTACATTTTTTCGAACTCGTTTTTCTCAAATCAGTGTTCTGGCATAAAGGCCCTTTTTGCAGCTACCGCCTCAATTATACAAATAAACGGTATCAGCATTCTGACACATACTTTCTCCCATAAGTTTGTCAACAACCTTTATCATGTGTAAGCGGTGAGAGTAAATATACGGAAATGGGATTTGTATAATTTTCTTCAGAATTTAAAGGACTATAACATACTACATTTTTATCAAAACCGTTCGGGCCAGTTTTGGGAAAAATCTGATTTTTCGTTATTTTATGGGGTTTTTATGGGAAAATAACATAATTTACAATTACTTTTGAACCGTAATTTTTACAGAAATGGGATTTGTACCATTTTGTTCAGAATATAAAGGACTATAACATACTAAATTTTTATCAAAATCGTTCGGGCCATTTTTGAGAAAATCTTATTTTTCCTGTTTTTTATGGGTTTTTATGGGAAAATCCCCATTAAAAATCAAAATTTCAAAAAAATGAAAAAAACACCTGGAGATACTACAGGTTAGAACCTACATACCAAATTTCATCGAAATCGGACCACAGGTGTGGTCTCTAGCTCTGTACACATCCAGACACACAGACACACACACACACACACACACACACACAGACATCACTTCGAAAACCACTTTTTTGGGTCCAGGGGGACCCAAAACGAATATATCCACTCAAAACTCAAACTCGAAAATTTTGACGAAAACAATACTTTCTCCATATACTATGGTATAGGGGGAGAAAGTAAAAATACAAATGGTCAAGGTCAACGATCAATGTTGAAGTAAGTTTAACCAACAGCAATGATAAAAGTAAAAAAAAGGAAAATTTATGTAGGCCCTAACTTGGGGATGATGCAACACCATTTAGACAAATCCAGTTCTTAAAAGAAAATCATTTGAAAAGACAGTAGAGATATGTGATATAATCAGAGTCAACTCCTGTTAAAAAAGTGGGATTCAACGATTCAACGTGGTTCAACACTAACTTACAGGTATTGCCCTTGAGTTTTCTATAGCTATAAAAGTATACGAAAAACCACAATAATCACAGTATGAAACCCACATCCTACATGCAACAATACAGTTTAGTCAGAAATGTGTAAAATATATTCTACAACAACACTTATTGAATGCAACCATGCAATGGCAGCTATAAACAGCGGTCTTATTTTAATACTTTGTTTTAAGTATCTTTTGTACTCGTTTAAAATAAAACCTGTACTCTATGCTTTTCCTTTCTATCTTCTGTTTAGCTAAAAAAAATTGTTTACAAACTCAAGCAAGTGTCAAACTAACCTATATAATATAACCTTAATTTGCTCTACAGACTGGGTCAAGTAGATTAGTTTTACAATAACTTGATATCAACAGTAACAAAATAAAACAATTTGATTAGTTTAAGATTAATGGATTCAGGTATGATGAGGGGAGTGAAAAATAATGGAGGTATTTGTGCAGGAGCTATTAACTTTTTTGGCAGTTGAATTTTCCTTACAATCTATATATCAAGTTGTTACAAAATTGCACGATGCTCTGAAGAATGGAAAGGAAATTGTTATTAAGAAGCACTCAGATCTAAACGTTGTTCATCACAGTCAAAATTTTCTAATTCTGAACAAAGGCTATGATGTTCTTATAAATAGTAATGAGCCTGGGGTTAAGGTAACTTGTCCTAAATATGCATGCTTGTTTATAGGATTAGGTTGGCATAGGCTCCTTACAGTTACTATTTAAATTACTTTTATTCTTAGTCTTGTGAATCTTGTGATTAATTAAAACCCCTCTAAACTTATACCTCTGGAGCCAGGTTATTTACATGTAGGCCTAAGCTATCACCGTTCTGTACAATAATGCTATGTAGGCTACGTGTGACTTTGTAACTAAGAGTACCTAGCCTTGTTTAGTTTAGGCCTATATAAAATGAATACATTCAGATCAACCAACAGTTACAGTTGTTTGCAGCTCCGTCCAAATATAATTCTAAATGTAGGTAAAACGTTGGGACAGATTAGAATTTGGAAGCTCAGTAAAGGCAGAAATTTTGCAGTAATATTTCTTACCACTCGATATCTCTGTCAGAAAACAGCAGTGATAGGTGCCAACAAGAAAGAGAGTGTCTACTGCAATTCAATTCTAGATTGTTAAAATTAACAGAATAGGCCTATGGTATTCTCTAAATTAGGCCTACAACTAAAACTTATCTTGTTTTTATCCGACTAAATGTATCCAACAAAAACCACATGAACCAACCGCGACACTCATGAAAAGGCCAGTCCTCATCTGATATAGTTTTTCATCTCTTCTTCCTCTTTGTATTACAAGTGTTTGATCAGAGTTCATCCATTGATTCCTTGGCCTATGCTTGGGCTGTATTTCATAGTTCATCCTATAGTTTCACTGATTTCATAAAACCCTTTTTATGGAAAATACATACAGTGTAAGGTGCCTATTAAAACAATTGCACTGTCTTTGCTATTTTACAATTTGTCCAAAAGCAATTAGAAGGTTAGTTATGACCTGAGTTGAAAGAACAAATAGCCTAAAATACAAAATAAACTGACTCCAGGGGTATCTGAATGGTTCTAGCGCTCGCCTTTAAAGTTGCCAGATCGATTTCAGTACCGGTAGTCATTTGTCATCCAACAAATTTAAACATGTCAATTACATAAAATTACACATACAAACACCAACAGGGACTATGTAAGGTTGTTACAACTTAATGTCATATTGTGGGGAAATTATCAAATTAGAGATATAGATAATATAGAAAATTAGAGATAAGAAATATTTAGTGTCTGTTCAACTATTTACCATAGTCAAATGAATATCTTTGTTATACTAGCCCTATATTATGTTTTAAAAATATAGAACACTATTCTAAAACTAAAACAATAATTTATCAACAGGACATTAAGATAAAATTGGTGATAACTGTCTTTGACATAGCGCCCAGCTTGCTCAGAATAATCTTGTGTTGTGTTTAGATTAATTGATCTGATCTAATAACGGGTAAGAGCTTAATTAATTTTAAAACAATTTCCCAAAAAAACCAAAATCTTGCATTAAAAATTGCTTTGACTCACATGTAGGTATCTGTAAAACCCATGTCATTCCACCAACTTACTGTTGATAGTAGTTTGTCAATTGTCATTAATAGTCTAAAAGAAATGTTATCAAAATATCTAGTTTACTAAGTCATTGCACTTTAGGCCTTCTGCCTTTACCGAATTGTCTTTTAAACAAAAGTTTACCTAATATTATTGGTTTTTCAGACTTTACACCATGATCTCTGCCACTCATACCCGAGTTTAGTAAATCCCAAACTGCAGCATGGATTCTACTTTACTCATAGATTGGATTTTGCCACTAGTGGTGCGATTTGTATCGCTTTGCATAAGAAAGCCTGTTCAGCAGCGTCATCTGCCTTTCAAAATAGGACTTCAAGAAAGTATTATTTAGCTCTACTGAGGGGTCATGTAGCAAAGGAAATTATGGAAATCAGCAAGGCCATAGGTTCGCAGACATTTCGTAGCTATTTTAGTGCTAAACATACTTTGCGTGCTGTAGATTTTTTTCACAATTCCTAAAGTTGAATTACAATTAAGTAGGTCTAATCTACAAAAATTATATTTAATGAAAATGCTAGTTTTAAGGCTGATTTGTACTTTGCTATAAAATTGTAATGAAGATAATTAGAATAATCTTGATCATTGTGAAGGTTATTTGTTGTAGGTAGGCTATGGTGTGCTAAGGATCCTTCATTCCTTTTGTGCCAGTATTTTTTGTACCACATGAGGTGCAGTTTTGTACCACATGAGGTGCGCGTTTGAAGCTGAATATAAATAAGCAAAATTGAGTGTAGATCAGCTGTTTCTTTAGTTAGCACTATTTTTGATTAAATTTCCGATAATCAAGAAGGACAACTGGGTCAAGAGGATATGGGTCCAGTAACCGGACGTGGATTAGCCATCCGGCAGTTACTGTCATAACCTAACCTAACTAACCAAACTTGCTGATAATGAAAAAAATCGAATGGAGGTTAAATTCTGTTCATAAAATAAAATAATAATTGCCTCAAATTCTAACAAAAGATGTACAGTTGAAGAAATGGCATTCTAAAGCCGGGTTTTCCTAGGCGCGGAGTCGGCTGGTGGAGAGAGGAACGCGGAGAGCGGACTCCACTTGTCTTAGGCAATTTAATGTTACTGTTTTCCTAGAAGCGGAGCGGAATGCCATGTTAATTTCAATTCCGCTCTCCGCTCGCCGACTACGCGCCTAGGAAAACCCGGCTTAAGCAAAATCTGACAAAAAGTTAGTGTCACCGATGGGATTCGATCTAGATACCTCTTGTACATCAGCAGAGTACTCTATCCACTTCCACTACACCACGAACACCAATGGCTGTACGTCGTATTGTTGTGTTAATGGTGTTCCGGGCCCCCACAACCCGGTGACGTCACTGCCGGACGCCTAATCCACGTTCGTTCGGTTACAGTACCGGACGCTTATCCTATGTGTTTAGGTTAGCCCTTTCTACTATCCAGCCTTTTGAAATATTACATTCTATGAAGTTAAATAATACTTAAAATTCAAAATTTATAGCCATAAAATTAGCAAAATTACAACTTACTTACTTCTTACTTCTTGGTACGTGCATCCAGCTTCAGGTAATGCCGACCGCACGGTGTCTCTCATATACAAGGTTGGCCAGTCTCCAGTAGGTGGGATCAGTTAGGATTCGTCCAAGAGTACAGTCATGTTGGAGTCTCTTCCTCAGCTCATCTCTGATATCCAACTTGCGAGTGCAATGAAGGAGGATGTGTTGCAACGTTTCTTCTTCCGTTTGACATACCAGACACAGGGGTGACTCAGCGAGTTGGAAGCGAAAGAGATATGATTGGGTTACAATATGCCCTGTAACATTTCCCTTCATCCATCCAATAGCAAAATTACAATATACCCCATTAATTGAAACATAAATTGTGCCTTACAGGAGAGGATGCCCGTGAGGTAAATGGGAGTCATCGTATGTGTACGACTGATGAGATCAGCTGTCTTTATCCTCGAACTGCTCACACCTTACTGCTGGTCCTACAGCGAGGTCTATTTGATGGTTACCCGGCTACTAAGGTACAATCAGTTTATTTAAAGTATTTAATTATTTACAAAAGAATGAATTTACTTATGAGATACGTTCCCTTCATCAAAACAGTTGTGGTAGAAAATGTTTATTCAGATACTGAAGGAGACATTCTATTATGTAACAGTTGTAGCCAGGTTGTCAGGCCTACTTAAGAACATAGTCCAATGAGCTTTTCATAGAGTAAGCTAATATTAACCCTCGAGGAGGCGCTTCACTAGTAAAACAGGAGCGGGCGCATGTGGAGTTTTATTCCGCAACAATAAAAAGCATAAATTTTACCCATTTTACTTGTTGTTACAGTATAACAAAATATTATATGTAAATGTTGAATAACCTAATCAGAAACCTAATTTATTTGTTAATAACATTATTTGTTTAACTCTATATGAGTAACATTTCAAATAATCATATTGGAAAATTTTCTAGTATAAAGGTATGTTACAAAAGAGGGCGCGTTCAGAGTTTTGTTCCGCAATAATGCAATCATACATATACATGCAAACAAAATATATTTTATAATAATTGTAAATGAAATAATAGGGGCCTACATTTAAATCTTACTAATATTATAAATGTGAAAGTTTGTGTGTTTGTTTGTTTGTGTGTTTGAAGTTCAATCACGCATAAACCACTGGACGGATTGGGCTGAAATTTGGCATGATGATAGCTTACATTCCCGATTAACATATAGGCATATTCTTATCTCAAAAATCCTTTCGGGCTCCGCCCCAGTGGCTCTGTAATTCCCCATGTTAACCTTATGAGTATTCATATTTAAAGGGAATTAAAGAATTTAGTCAGCTGTTTCAAAGTTGGTTCTATGATATGGAAAAGCATTAAAAAGTTATAAGATTTACCAACAGGGTGCAGTACTATATTTTTTTTGCATTTATGAAAACAGCTAATTTGAACTAAGCAGCAACAAAAAACTGTGATTCGCAATGAGAACTGTCAAAGTAGGATTGTTCACAGTTATGTTTATGTTTTTCATTTCATGAATAATTTGTGATATTTTGCGAATCGTTGATAATTTATTTTTCTCTATTGTTTAGGTGAAGTGGTAGAACATTATGGCTATGGTAGATGTGTAATTCTATAGAATACTGTAAATTTAAAAAAGCAAATTTTATCAAACTGTGTCCTCCCGTACGAAGGACGGGTACTCTGCTAGTATGTTTATAATTTTGTATGTATAAAATTTGACAATAGCGCATGAGGAAATAAACTCTGCGCTAAGGACTTAAGCAAAAGGGCGCACGTGGAGTAAACCTCCGCAAACTGACACCGCGTCACTGAATTGCAACTGACAACAAAATGAGGAGGAATTCGGGGGTAAAAATAGCTTAGGGGCATTCCCAGGATGGGGTGCGTGAAGTGTAGAGCCGGACTTCGACTGCCGACACCCATTGTGCATATTTATATGAACAAAAACTACAAGTGCGGAGGAAAACTCCGCAAGCGCCCTCTCGAGGGTTAAAGTTCTATTTTCTGGGTTCTGTTGCCAATAACTTTTCATACTATGATAGTTGACAGAGACATACCAAATTTAATGGTTCACAACAAGTTTTCATTCCAATTTGGCATGGTTAAACAATTGTTGGTTCATAAGGTATAAACAAGTATTTTAGAGCAGCAAATTGGTCCTCTACTCAAATTATTAGTTCTTTTTTATTCTAAAACGTTCCAGCTTTTACGCTCTTTCCATTAACACATTTTGGAGACTGAATTTTTCCCTCTAATGTATTTGAAGAGATTTCTGCAGAAATATTCATTTTGGTCCTTATCTCAACGAAAACGTGATGTCTGTGTGTGTACAGAGCAGAAAGCTAAACTTTTTTAAATCACTTCAAACTAGTACCATTTAAATCACAACATGTTTAACACACCATTTGCACTGTTGAAAAACGTTTAAGGTGGCGTTGTAAGGCTTTTGCTAAGGAAACCTTTATTAAACTTAAATACAAATTTGTCATGTAGGCTATTTTGATAATTTTGCTAGATTATACGAGTACTGTCCCTCGCCAATACAGTAGAACCCTGACTGATATCCAGCCTCGGTTTTACCCCCCCCCCCTTCTAGGAAGCCAATGTCGAAATGTTTTTCCCAGGGCTTACACACGCATGGTTGCAAGCATTAGTCTTTGCAACTTGAGTATTCTCACAATGTAGGCGGTTTGTTAATTTTCGTGTGTCACTGCTAAGTTGAGCTAGTAGGCTTAACCTCTGACAGTTGGTTATTACTGTACATTAACTGTTTTATTTAAAAAACAATGGATAAAAAAGTTTAGCAGAAACAGAAAATTATGTATGTAGGCCTACAATTCAAGGCCTAATGCTATTCAAGCATAATTTATTTAGAGTCATTTTTACCTCCATCATAATTTGACATTGGTTTATCTTATCGTACTAATATTATAAATGTGAAAGTTTGTGTGTTTGTTTGAAGTTCAATCACGCATTAACTAATGGTTGGATTGGGCTGAAATTTGGTATGGTGATAGCTCACATTCCCGATTAACATATAGACAGTTGTTCCAACCACACAAGTTGGTTCTATGATATTACATAGCATTACAAAGTTATAAGATTTAACAACAGGGTGCAGCACTGGTAATTTTTTTTCAATTATGACAACAGCTAATTTGTACCAACTAGCAAAAAGCTGTGATATACAATGAGAACTTTACTTTTTTCTATTGTTTAGGTGCAGTGGTAGAGCATAGTGACTATGGAAGATGTGCTATACCATAGCATACCGTAAATTAAAAGAACCAAATTTTCTTAAACCGTGTCCTCTCCCACTGCAAACGCAAAGCCATGTAAAAGCATTTTATAATACGTCAACCCCGTATGAAGACGGGTATTCCGCTAGAATTACCTAAAATCATGATAATTTTTAGCGAATTTCCCATACAGGGAATAAGCTATTACCGTAGTACTCATAGTAAGACCTGGACCCGGGACCGATTTTTTTTTCGTTTTGAGGTCCCTAGAGAAACAAAAACACCATCTGTTCAAATTCATATATATATATATATGTGTCGGTTAGCGCGATAACTCGAGCAAAAATGATCCGATTTTGATGAAATTTGGTACAAATGTGTAAACCTACGTTTATTCAAAAGAGTTCGCGAACCAGCATGATCGGACCATGGAAACGGGGGTTCATGGGGCTTTTATGGGGTAAAAATGGGTTTTTCCCATTTTTGACCCAAAAAACTATTAACTATAAACTATTTTGTAGAGCTTAAAAAAACAAATTATTTAGTATATTGAAGCGTTATAATGCGCCTAATGGTTACGGAGAAAATTCCAAAAAATTGTAAATTTAATATTCCCATGTTATTCTTATGGAGAATAAGTAAACTGTTGTAGTTTGCTTGTTTATAAACATATTTTGCCCAAATTTGGAAAATGTTTTTATTTCTTACTAACTATTAACATTTTACATAAAAAACACTTTTACCCTCCCTGTTGCAGCAAACCTAAGTATGTTTTAAACTGATTCTATTTAAATAGGGAATAAATGTGATATTTTTAAGGAGACATTTTAGTGTAAATCCATTCAAGGAAATGGAAATTGCTTAGTCTGCAGGTTTGCTGCGGCGGGGGTATTTTATGTTTATTACTTACCCACTTTAATTTAACCTATAAATAAAATGTTTGTTTTAGAATCATGTTTTTTTATGTTCTCAAGAGATACTTGAACTCTTCTTTTTGCTACATTTGTTTTGTACACATCATAATTAAATATAAATTATCGTATTTATAATATGTTGGTTTATCTGGCCAGGGGTTTGGTCCCGTGGTGGCCGGATATAAAGTGTTCTACTGTCATGAAAAAGCGGTTTATTATTGGGTCAAAGGGAACAAGTGGGTATCTGTATATGTTTGTGTCCCCAGGTATGTTAGTCACAACATGTTACATGCTTCAGAGCCTGTCTGAGATTGCACAATCTTACCCATGAGCTCTGTTCTCTGGCCTGCAATCTCCTCAGACTGCCCACACCTGTTTATGGTATATTCCCAAAGTAAATGCATCTGCAGGACAACTGTGCTGCTTATTGATAAATTACCGTTGATATAAAAGGTAAAATTTGGTTTTTGTCATGGTTTTACAGGTGCTTCTACAGCCAATCACCGGCCGGCGACACCAGTTAAGAGTGCACTGTTCACACATCGGCCACACTATTATCGGGGACTACACCTACAGCAGGGGCAAAGATGTTCTACCTTACAGGACATTTCTACATGCTTTTAGGTAATCATCATACAAGTAGGCCCTATTGTATTTGTATTGTACTTAAAGGGTGACGAGCACCAAATCAGTAAAATATACTACATTAGTAAGTGAAACTTCTGTAGTTAAAACACAAGAAGTATTCAACTACAGAAGTATTTTACTACTGGAGATTTGTTTGGAGAGCTCAAGTACAGGATGCTTCTTTAGTTAAAACTTCTGTAGTTTCTGTGAATACTCTGTTAGTTGTGCAGTCCCACGCAGTACATTACCTCAAAATATAGAAATACTGCAATATTTATTTGTGTTTAGTGCAAATTAGTATTAAGCTTCAAGAGTTTTGTGTTGAAAATTGGTTTTTATTGTTAAAACCTCCTGTTCAAATAGTTAATTTGTTTAATTATTTCATTTTCATTTAATTTTATCTTTTTTATATTTATTTTTATAAATTTGATTATAAAATTAATATTTAAATATTAATTTATAAATATGCGGAGAGAATAAATCCTTGTAAGGTCTAAAACGATAAACGTAGGGCACATGCAATATCTAATTTACGATTATCTTCACAGATTGAATTATTATTAGCTATTTTTAACCTCAATTAGGAAATATAGATGTAAATCATACATACACGATGTACTGTGTTAATTTATTTGTTTCAAATCGACAGCTACCCCTCTTTATTATTATCTATTACATGCGCCCCACGTTTTTTGTTTTAAATCTTACAAGTATTATTTATTCTCTCCATATATTTAAAATTATTTTCTACTTTTTAGGGCGTTTAAAAACGTGGTATTTTAAAAAAGTATTTCATGTATAAATTAGTTTCTACTTTTTTGTTTATTTTTGTTTTACTAATTAAAAATTACAGTAATAGGTAATTAATATTTCAATAGGGTCTCTCTTATCACAAACCGTACTGCATTTGGTGCATTCAATAAATAGTCTATGTAGGCCTATTCAGCATAATCCATGGTTAACATAAAAAAATAATCTACTGAAAACAATATACATGGTTAACCCTATTTAAAACGAAATACTCCATAACTTACACCTACTAGGGGGTAGGAGTATATTTTAGCACAAATTTATCATTAACTTACTAGTTTAGTACACAACTATACACTGGTGCACACCAACCTTAAATTTTCTCTGAAGAGTAATCTACAATACTCCTGGCGTAAAACACTCCTGAAGTTAGAATACTAAAATAGTGTATGTAGCAAATGAAGTCACTATTTTCCTACTACTTTAGTTATATACTATATTAGTTTGACTTTCTCCTGTTTGGTGCTCGTCACCCAAAGTATTGTATTTTAAATGCACTTTAAAATCAAACAGTACAGAAACTTGACATGTAGCCTCATTAAGCAAGATTGAATTTCCTTGAGGTTTTTAAGAGCCAAACCTCGATTAAATATACTCACCTTCAGTTATGCTGTATTATAAATTTTATCTGATAACAACCAGGCCTACACATGTAGACCCATACCATAGAGCTGGTAACTTTTATTTACAACTTTTGATGGTAAACAACTTGTCTACTGTTTTATTTCTTTCTTGTTGGAAACAAAGTACCAACTGTACTTTTTAAGTCAGTCTTAATTAAGTTTTCACATTGTTAAGGTTGATTCTACCCAACCCGGTGGAGCCAATAGACGTAGTGACACCAGATCCCTTCACTACAGGGTGTCTCAACACCTGGGTGCCAGTGGAGACTATCAACGAGTTGAACAATCATGTGTTCGACAAGCTTTGTGTCAACGGCCAAAATAATTACTGAACCAGCTTATGAGTTGTGATAATTTCTAGTCATCTACTAAGAAATAAGGAGCTTACATTTTGTACTTATTTTTTATGTAGGCCTATAGGTTTTTTAGTGTATTGGCAATTAATTTAACTAATTACTAACATGATATTACCTAGGTTTGAGACATAAGATGCATTTTTTACGTGTAAGTTTTAATCTGCTTGAAAGTGTCTTGTCAAAAAGTCAATTACAAACTTAATTTTTATCTTTGGAGAAAATTGAAACAAGGAGAAAAAATCAATATGCAAGATTTAAATTGATTGTATATTGAATAAAGGGGTATAAATAAGTTTTTCGCATCAAACATTTTACGGTATGAAGTTTGTAGAAATTGGTTTACACCCCATAACTTCACTTAATCCATAACACTTACAACAAATGAATATATATGTTTGGTTGTGTCTTTTTTTTGTTGTCTGATAAAATCCTACCTAATAAACTTTTTTTAAATCAGTTTATTTCTAAACAATCTCCCTTTGTGTAGGACTGTTGTTTGTTAAAAAGATATTTAATAAAGCTGAGTTAATATATTGTTATACCAGGGGTTCTTTTACAGGAATTTTTTTAAATGTATAAACTGATTAAAGACTTGCTTATCTTTTAAAGTGTGTCATTTTTACCCTTAAAATATCTTGTAAAAAACACAAAAAATAGTATATTTATTTCATAACAAGAGAAAGTGAGTCATTACATGATATGGTCTCGACTCTTTTTATTTTTAATATGTAATGACTCACTTTAACTCGTGTTTTGGAACGTAATTTTCGCTACACTAAAAAGACTAATTCCTTTTTTTCATTGAAACAGACTTTGGAATATTTCTTTATTACAGTTAGGAACATTTCAAAACTAATAGCATTCTTTTTTAGGTTAGGCCTTCTATTTATAGTTCAAATTTACATTGATTGTACAGTTTTGTTTTTTCTGCAAATTAAAACAGTTGATGAAACAATAACAAAAATGTAGGCTCGTATCAGCGCACTTAACAGCGTACCATATATTTCATACTACCATGTTTTCATTGATAAAAACTGACCTAGCTTTATTGTTACTTGCTCGATTCAAATGCAGGGTTCATTGTTTCAAGTACTCATCTTCGAAGTACAGATATTTTGATTTGTCATTATCGAGTGAAGAATACAACAAAAATTATTTTGGTGTGAAATCGATTCCACAATCACTAGTTTCATACAGATTACATCAGTGTTAAATACTACAATTCAAAACCAACCTACTCGGAGCAGAGCTTCTTTAATGAGCGTGAACATTTTAAGAGCAAAAGTTCCCCATTTCAAGCCAAAAACCCAGCACAAAGCATATGACCGAGTTGTAGTGGGGAAAAAAACAAAAGTAGGTATTAAATAAAACAAATAATTTTTATAAAAATATACCTTCTATATTTTGAATATAGTAACTGATAGAAAGTAAACCACATTTACACTATTGATAAAGGAAAACAAAACTATACATTACCAGTCAACTTATCATATAATCAACAAGAAATAAGAAATCCCTCTCGGCAGCGGTTGGTCCATTTTCAATCATCTTTGGATTTTTGGTCTGTAAAAAAATGTACATGTCATTTAACTTATCAATATTTTGTATCTAGAGTCAAGTTTTTTGTTCAAAATAGGCCTACAATTGACTCTCATTAATCCGATGATTAATAATTCTTTACCCAACACTATGATAAATGAGTCGTTGACCAAGTCTGTGCAGTACTGGAATTTATTTGTGTAATAAACCGTGCTCGACTTGTGGGGGAACGTGGCAGAACGGAGTTCCGGATAATAATATTGGCATAAATAGGTACAAATCACATTAAAAAGGTTACAGTTCCGGCACCTCATTTTTTACAAATCGAGCACTGGTTATAACAGAAATTGTGCGTCTTTACACGGCATCCAGTTCAGTTTAACTATGCTATCACACGTGCTTCTCATACAAACCTGCTGATGATATTTCTAGAACTGACTGTTGTGTGTGTCAGATAGGTATGCAAGTCAAAGTAGTCACTAATAGTACAATAGGCCACTTCTAACGTGAAGACTCCGCCACATAAGTGCACCGACGTTCGGTAAACGTTCGGATATATACTTAACATCAGAAAGAGACTGGAACAAGATTGGGAGAACAGGACATGGAAAATTTCAAGGCGAATTAGTGAAGATTTTGCATGGTGGAAGTATGTAGATGTGGAGAAATAAAAACCACGAGTCAAGTATTTATAAATTGTTAATTTCAGGAGACAAATAGAAGAGAACAGGAATAAGTCTTGGATAAGATAGGTCTAGAGATGAGAAAACAAAACATGATGAGTGACAAGGAAACAATTGAGACGTTTAAAAAAATAGCTAGGGAAATATGAAAACCAGGGATACATAAAGGCTTTAAAATTTCAAAGAAGAAACAAAGAAACTAAGTAAAGAATGAAAACTTGCCCATGAAGGGGAGAGGAAAGGTTAGAGCGAATCTCAATGATCCCTATCGCTCAGGGCGGTATGGGGAGGGAGTCGTGCTGTTAGGCTTTTGGACACATAATGTGTCTGGAAACCTAATGCGGCTATGAGTAAGGCTATTTGTAGAAAACACTATTTACAATAAATGTTGATTATATCGATCTGTTATGTATATCTTGAGTATTTCCATAATGTTTGAGTCGTATATTTCAAAGTCATCAGAAATTATCACTGTTATTCGTTTTGAAATAACGCCCGTAATTCTTAGCAATTGCTTGAATTCGAGCAACAGGTACATTAGTTTAAATTAAACTGTCAAAAAACACCCTAACCACATGTTAATGTTATTAGTGGTTAGAGCTAGTGACATCACTTATTTTGATGTTTATGATCCATGCCATACTGTTTTTATATCCGCCATAAAAGTTACAATAACTACTTCAAGTCAACCACTGATCTTATTCCTTAGTTTTTGTTTAAAATTGTCTTCCATAAACATAACATTGAAATTTTGAGGGCCCATGGGGCGGATTCCTTAGAGAATTTTACAACGCCATATAGATGTTAGCACTCACCGATGTGGTCTTTTATCACCATGCAAAATTTGAAAATGATTGCTTCAGCCATCTAGGAGGAGTTTGCGTATTATGAAATGCATAAGAGTTGACGTATAAGAGCTCAAAAAATATTATTTCTTGATGAAAATATGCTTGAATCTAATTAGACTATCTATTGGATTATGTTTGTTAATTGGATAGAACAATCATAAAGCAGTAATTAAAAGTAAGAGAATCGAGAATCATTTTTGAGACTCGTAAAAAAGAGTCATATACTCACTTTGGTTTGAAAGCAAACATTGTCAATAAACTCTTCTGGCAGTTATTAGTTTTCTTACTGAGTCCAACTTTCATTTGGGGTTTCTTAATTACTATAGGAGGACTGAGGACCAATTCCTGAAAAAAGAGAAAAATGTTTTAAAGCAAATGTTACTTATTTTTACCTAGATATAGCATTGCACATTTTTTGAAACAACTGGAAAAAATAAAAAAAAATTGAACTGTAAATGTGAATAACAGTATAACACTAAGCTGTAGTATTGGAATGTTGTTTATACGTGTACGACGTAGGTTTAACTACAGGTTGTATGGCAATCATAAAACTTAAAAATATCATCGCTATAAGATGATTTTTTGTGGAATACTCTATTCTTTATAATACTTACTATAAGAGAAAGCGTGAGCAGTAGTATTGGCTCATTATAACCAACTTAAGGTAATAATCATACTGAAGATAAAGTATAAGTAACTCGAAGAAAGTATTCAACGTTTTAAAGGAAATCTAAGAGGCTGATTCATTGAGATTTTTCTGCATGTTTTCTCCAATCTACTTCTGAAAGATCTTTTTTATCAGGGAGAAGAATCAGTGTTTTGTTATGTGAGTATTTATTGTCTATCTATCAGCCCCCGACAATAGTGACTAAAGTCCCATGTCAACAGTTGTTTTTATTAGAAAGAGAATGCTTTACAATAGGTGAGTCTTCTGATTAGGAAACACATTAAAATTTTTAGGCCTAGAGTTCTTTTCTAAGGATACCGTACCTAAACATGCTAACTGACAATTTATTAAAAGAAGATATTTGAGTACATTTTGATTCCTTATTAAACACACCGATAAAGCCATTGTTATGTAACCAAACCAATGAAAGATAACAAAATACAAACCTCAGAGTTTGTTTCCGGAGTCAGACTGTCCGACAGCGAATCATTCAGTGAGCTACCTTGTGAACACAAGCCGTCATGGCTTTCTTCTGATTTTACAGTTTTCGCAAAAGGATTCCTTCTGTTACTATTTACATCGGACGGACTCTTTGCACAAACTTTATTTTCATCTACTGATTTGTTTAACGACGGATTGACAAATTTACCATTCACAGCAGGGTAAGAAGGCAACGATTTAGATTTGAAGCCAAACATTTCTGATAGAGACGGCCTCCACCTAAAGCTAGTTTCACGTTTGATAATAGGTGTTTCATTTGATGAGTTTTCCTTCCCGTTTGATGGCTTTGATTCACCACTGTTGGGTTTAGTTTCTTTATCATAATCCTCTATCAGTGAGTTGATGTTGTTATCAGTGAGTCTATCAATTGACGGGGCTGCAAAAGGTGATTTGTGAGGGGATTGTGGTTTTGTTTGCTTCTCCATCACATTGCTAAGATCTTTTAGAGTGTTTTTCATCTCAGATTTGTCATCAGGAGAGTTGTCTGATTGGGAAACAGCTGCCTGTCCAAAATATCTGAAACAATATAGATCACGGTTAAAGGCAACTATCAACTGTGAACCAATTTTAAAATGTATGGGCGAGTATTCGGTAGACTTTACTGCTAAGTTCCTTGGCATCAACAATCTAAAATTATAGGAACAAATTAAGATCCAACTATTGCCATTACAATTTTTTTATGTTTTGGTAAAGCGATATTGAATTAGTATAAAACAAACCAAAGGTTGACAATTCTGTTTAACTAAGGAATGTGAAAACTTAAAATGATAAAATATTTTTTCAAATCAAGACTTTTGGTTCCTATTTTAGAAAACAATGATTGAAAATAAAAAGTCTATTTTGTAGTATTCAAAGTCAATATTTATTACCTGCTCTGAACAACACTTGTATTATTGGGTGAGGTTTTCCTGAACTGAGCCAATTTTGACAAGCCACTAAACTTGTTGGCAGTTGGGGTACTTTTTGAAAATGGATTTCCATGTGTCTGCTTAGGAGGATTCACCACTTCAACATGGGACTGCTCAGATTTTGGAGGGGTTTGGTCAATGATGTCAAGGATTTCCTTCACATTTTCTTCGTCCAAGCGTGGTTTTTTACTTGGGTGTGGAGAACAGCCAAATTGTGAACGAAGAGCACTCATTTCTTCTTCAAGACCTAGTAGCAAAATTGTGAAAACTTAATGTCTAAATTATAAAAAAAATTAACTTAACATTCAACCAATTTTCCTGCATTTTGACAAAGTAAGCCATAGTCCAGTAGAATAATAATCAAGGCTCTTATATTCAATGGAAAGTTGGTAAAAATCTTGTTAGACTATTTAAATGATGTATGAAGTGCTTCTTAAATAATTCAACCATATTCAACCCTGTTTTCAGTACAACGTTGAAAGAGTGCCGAATTAAAGGAGTATTCAATCCGACAACATTCCTTGTACAACAAAATAAAAAGGATTTCTCATGATTAAGATTAGAGAGTATTCAAAGAAAATTTCATATTAAGCAAATAGTATTGAATTCAATAACAGCACCAAAATGGAATTTAAACAGTTTTAGAGCACAAGAAACACTAACTTCTGAAATATAATACAAACTTTTGAATCCGTTAAAACAATCTAACAATAGAATTTACTTACTCGGAGCAGGGCGTTTTGGTAGTTGGGGAATATCCACAGTCTGTTCAACCACCTTTCCCGAGGTAGACGTTCGCTTGACATTGCACGGGTCTGGCTTCTCTATTACTAGGATTTTAGGTTTGAAATCAGAGGACCAAATGCTCTTATGAGGGGCCACCGACTTTCCACTCCAGCCGTTAGATCGTCCTCCAGGAATCTGCTGGTTAGAAAATGTAAACAACTTTAACATTGAGGAGACTAATTTTTAAACTTGCTTGCTAAGATTAATAAAATAAATTGATTAATCTATTTATTAAAAAAAAAATATGTTTTTTTGTAAAAAAATATATACCTGTGTAAGGGAATCTTGACTTGCAAGAGATACATTTGTTGAAAGAAGCAATGGAACTGATATTTTTATTGGAACTCCCCTAGAACCTTATTGAAAGTATTCCAAATGATAATAAAACCTTTGCTTTATTAATTAGGTTGGTAGCCAATTCAATACTGAGAAAAGTCAAACTTAGAATCTTGTCCCAGTTGTGCTTGATCATTGGGCTACTAGTAAATAACTATGGCAGAAACGCCTGCTGATCTTTGAAATTAAAAGTAATAAATAAGGCGTATTATTCCATTCAACCCTCTTCTTTGCCTAAAACTAGACACTAGAGTGTGTTAGCCTTTTTATACACTTCATATTCGAACCGTGTTCACTGTTCAAGCAGAGAAAATTGTAAGTAGTTTACAAATCTTAAATCTGAATGTTCTTCCAAAAGCAGAGCCAGCCCTTTTAGAGTAATTTTATACTTAGCCTACTTAAGGCTTAATTACATAAGGCAAATTTACAACTTACTAGCCAGTAGGTAAAAAAGAAGGCTTGAGGTCAAGTACAACTCCAATTTCCAATAACCTATTTGTCGAACATTATCAAGACCTAATTGTCACTCTGGCAAAAGCAATTGTGAGTACACTTTGATAGTTTCACGATCCAGTTAGTGAAAAAACCAATAAGAGGTGAGTATGGACGCCGGAAGATTCAAATTTTTATAGAGCTTTTTAGAAGCAGCTGTTGAGTGAGTGTGGCAAGCACACTAGGCTAATTTACAAGCTAAAAAAAAAAAAAAAAAAACTGAGCGGTGTGTAAAAAAACTAAGTAGAAATTTATAAACTCTCCTATGTAATCAAGCCTTTATTACACCTGTATCATCCACCTACCTGTGCTTTTTCTGGGCTCCAATCATCAACTTGTTGCAACGTGAAGGGGTCCAGATTACCATAGGCCAGCTGCTGCAGCTGAGACGGTTGGAGAGGCTCTTTTGCCAGTAGTGGGGGAGGGGGTGCGCCAGGTGGAGGGGGTGTTAGAGGCACAAGTCGCCGCGTCAGTGGATCAAACACTGGTTGATGTCGGAACATTGCGTCTGCCTCTAGGAACTTGTCTCTGTAAGTTACTGGCACAACGATATTCATGTTCAGATGACCTCCCAGCCTAGAAAGCGCCTGAAGCAGAAAGGTAGAAATAACCAATAGTATTATTAAAAAAAAAAAAAAAATAGACAACAATTTGGCCGTTGTGATGAATGTTTTTGTTGGGCTAGAACAGACTAGACTATGGTTAGTCAGTCTGGTATGTTGAAAGTTATTGTCTATCACAAAGTGTGGGGAGTTAGATACATTATTTCTATATCAACAAAATTAAAAAAAAAACCCGCACCTCACAACAGGGGGGATTTTCAATTGCAGTACACTTTTTAAACTTTTAAATTGCGGCAATAGGCAGCACAACAACATTAGCTGAGAGGGATGGACAATCATTGTTGGGACAAACTCGTCTTTACCGGAGGTGTGAAATTAGCGCACGTCAATCGTCTGTAGGTGTGAGACGGAAATATTCCTTACTTTCTGAATAGACCTTGAATATATGATACAGTAGTGATTTTAGCATTTAGGTACATATTTTGGGAATTTGACGTGAGGTATAAATAAATGCCTTGAAATTTTGCATCACCAATCTTAGCATATTCTTAACATATTAATGTCTTTAAGAAGTGTTGGCTTTAAAAAAATATCAATTTTTACTCACCCTGTGAATGTCCGGGTCGACAGTGCTCTTGATAAATCGCAGTGCCTTGGCCAGGCCTATCTTGGGCAGTGAGGCCAAGTAATCGCAGCCAGAGAGTATACACATGTAGCGGAACTTGTCCATTGTGAACGCTCCCTCAGTCAGACCCATGGACAAGTGCAGTCTCTCCTGTTCTACCAGCAGACCATTGCCTGCCAGATCTAGTTTGAACATAACCTACAAAGTGACATAGACATTGTTAAAATATGATGTAGGTAGGCCTAACTTAAATGAGTTATTTAAAAAAAGGTCTCTACGAGGGGAGAATCTTAGGCGATGCTAATAGGTTGAGAACATGGTAGGAAAGGGTTCTAGTGAATCTTAATTTGAATACGTAAGAGACTCTAAAAATAATTTCCTGAAAAGAGAAGATTCAATCTGAGTGGAGAGTAAAGAGAAGAAAGAATACAAATCATGAAGGTGTTGAAAAAAAGTTTCTTTTAGATATGAATTTGAGAATACACTCTCAAGCTTTAATTTAATGGTTTGATATTTGTTCGATATGAGAGTTAATAGAGAGTAGAAAAACACAATTTTACATACCTTTCAATAAGAAAATCCAACATTGGAAGGTAACAGGGGGAATGAGGATTGGGTGAGCTCACCACTGAGGGACACACAAGAAGATCTGGAAGTTCAGATGCACTTCACACTTCGAAATGGGGAATTTAGTACTATTATTCACTGATTAAAGAGAAAGAGATTTTAATGTGGGGACACTTCCACCACGAGGTGGTCAAAAGACCGAGAGATTGCCAGAAAAACGGCGCGGCGCGGCACATACGTCCGATCGAGGAAGGTTTTAGACGCTAACTGAATAAAATCATGGTGGGGAAATTTGAATTTTCCATGAGAGGGAAAGAGACAGAGATAGATCACGCCATATGACGTAGGCATCGTATGATTTTAAGGAGAATGTGGGGGAGGGGAATTGCCGTGGTGTGTGTGTGTGAGTAGAGTAGAGTACATTTTACAGACTTAAAATAAGTGACTAACACACAAATAAATGTTGAAAACCTATGCACACTGTTAATTAAATGTTAATAAAATTAGTTATTAATGATGAAATTACTAATTACCCTATTTACAAAACTGTACTGAACAATATTTTTCAATGGTGCAAATAAATACATATCCAGTCTTACAGATTCCACTTATATGCTCTTATTTAGTATACTATGATGATTCACTTACCGTACGTAATAATTTACGTGTCAATTGATGAAAATACCCCCGCCGCGGCAAACCTGCAGTCTAAGAAAATTTCCATTTACCTGGCTGGATTTCTACTAAAATATTCCCTTAAAATTGGCAGACTTATTTCCTATTTAAATAATATTAATTAATTTTAATAAGAAGGTACTTAGGTTAGCTGCTACAGGGAAGGAATGAGGTGTGTTCTAAAAATTGAAATGTTTAGATATTTTAATATTCTATGCTTTTGAATTACCGTAACGTCCGTAACATATGATTTCAACTTTCAAGTTTATCTTACAACTGTTAACCAACAAGATTGTTGTTTTTTTTTTTTTTAACTTTATTTAATTTACAATCTGTTCAAGTTGAACAATAAGCAAATGATATAAATAGTAATACAAAAATAACTTGAAGAACATGAGCTAGTGATTGACCACCGTCAACACTAGCTAACAAAGAGAATTTTGATAACACTTAGCCGAATCTGAATGGTAGGTCCAATATCGTATGTCGCTTCAGTCTGTAAATGGTGTTGTGATTGTCCAATAAATTAAGTGCAAGATGATTTGAATGATTTTCCAATTTTATAATGTATTTTTCACTAGATTTTGTAATTTCTTCTTTTACTGTTCGAATTTGAAGATCATTGTGAAGTGTTCTGTTGGTAACAAACCAAGGAGCGTTGACAATTTTACGTAATAATTTTGATTGGTAACGTTGAATAATTTCAATGTTTGAGGTACTTGCTGATCCCCAAAGCTGAATACCATAAGTCCAAATTGGTTTTAGAACTGTTTTGTACAGTAACAATTTATTTTGTGTACTGAGTTGTGATTTAGATCCAAGAAGCCAATTAAGTTTAGTTGTTTTTAAATTTAGATGTTGTCTTTTAGTCCAGATATGTGCCTTCCAATTAAGCTTTGCATCTAAGTGCATGCCCAAGTATCTATATATATAATACGTGAAGCCGTTTTTTGTTAACGCAACTCCTCCCTTATTTGTGGACCAATTTCAAAGTTTAAGGTGTCAAAAGAATTGTCTCAATATGTAGTTTTGCAATAAGGTTTTAGAATTTAAAAATTCTTACTCTTAAGGGCATGAGACCCTCTCAAAGGTCGGGGTTTCCCCATAAGAAATACACAGAACAAATTAAAAAACAAAAAACAGCTGTTTATAAAAAGAAACTCATTAGCTTTTTGGGAGTAAATACTAATGTTTGTAATATTCAGTAGGTTAAGACCAAGTTAAACAGTTAATCAGTTTTGTTGGAAGAACAGAAAATGCCTCAAGTTCAAAAGAGAAATGTTGAAAACGGGAAGAGGAGACGATTAATAATAAGATATATCTTATGCATGAGGAGAGTAGACAAAGAGAGGCCTGGTCTAACAGATACCCATCCAGATTCAAATTCACTTGGTGAGATGAATAATATTTGACAGTTATGCTATGCAACTTACTTTGGAAGTGAAAAAATATACGAAGAACATAGTGCTTTCACGGTGGTAAAGTAAACTTGCCTAATCACAGATCAAATGAATGCATGCAAGAAATGTTTACTTCTGACACTGACAGATCGAGAAATTTCAAAACATTTAGTAGAATTAATAATAATGCCTTGACTATGATAAGTTCAAGTAGTAAGATTACTAAACCTTTGCGGACCTTATGTTTTTATTGTAAACTTTTGTATTACTCGGTCTACTTCAATTGAGAAAAACTCAAATGGATTGTTTACTTCATCTCATCTGTTGTACGGGTTGTTGTCTGCCTTTTTCACCACTTTTTCCTATATTTTATCATATTATTCTACAGATCATCAGAGGTACATGCGATTATTGTCATACATGTTTTCAGTCATTGAAAAAATAGTCGAATGTGTAATACAATACAAAATAATACAAGTGCAGAAGGGCACGTTGTTCATTTGAAATATGGCAAAATATGGCACGTGTCCATATTTTGTTAAATTAATCGGACCGCGGCCCACTGGGTTGTTAACATGATTGAAAATAACACGACATTTCGGCTATAAAAAAACATAAAGAGTAAATACTATTTAAGCAGCTACTTAAAGTATATTCCACTAAACCAAACTTTCCGTATATGAATTAGCGTAAGCCTTGAGAGTAACCGTCGATTTCGACGGGTTTCACCTAGTTTTATTTCTGTTACTTGAGGGAGGTGAATATTGTTCATGGATACTGGAGGACATGTAGCCTGATTTAAGGTAAAAGTAATGTGTGCTGATTTATTTTCATTAATTTTGAACCTCCATGTTTTAAACCAATGAGAAATTTCATCTAAGTTTAGATGTAAATTTGCTGTAGCTTGAGCTGGATTGTCGTGGACAGATAAAATTGCCGTGTCATCCGCAAATGTAGCAACCATAGTGTTTACACTTTCTGGTAGGTCCGATGTATAGAGAATATACAAGTACGGTATGGTCCAAGCACGCTCCCTTGGGGGATTCCTGATTCTATAGGGTAAAGGTCAGTTAAGTAATTTTGATGTTTAATTTGGAAAGTTCTGTTGGTGAGATATGTTTTTAAAATAGAAATTTTTACTTTTGCTACAAAATGTCTCTTTTATTTAAAACTTATTTAACAACTAAACATGGCACAGTCTACATTTGAGTGAGTTTATATATTCATTTATGACCACTTTGGAAAATGGATTATAATAAACCAGATAAGTTAATAGGCAATAGGTATGCCAGAAAATTTCAAGCAGTTCAAAGAAGACATTGAAAACTACTTTATAGCCACATAGACAGCGAGGAAACCCATTTCCTATGTGGGAAATTCGCTAATTGGCTATCAAGAATTTCAAAATTATTAGAATGTTTTAATTTTATAAGCTTATTAAATAATACAAACCCTTGAACAGCCGAAGAGCAGTAGGTCAGAGTCCTCTGTGATGACAATATGTGCAATGTTGTTGATGTTGAGATAGGCTAGTTCAGCGTCAGCCTCGTATGGAGCAGTGATGCAGTCAACATTGCGACTACGACATTCCTTCATTAGTTGCACCGCCATGGTGTGTGTCACGTCCACACAACGTTGCAGATATGTTCGGGCCTCGTTGGGCTTGTCCTGCCTCAAAAGTTCAGCTGCCCGTCGTCTGTTCACTTCTCGGTTCCTATTGAGAACAAGATTGTATCAATTCAAGGAGTGCAGCTTACGCAAATTGTAAGATTATTGATGGAGCCTAATGGTGAATGAAGTCCGATATTAACTAAAATTAGGTCAAATGGTATCTCATGAAGATTAATTACTTACTGTCGTCTTTTTTTCTCTGTGTCAGCTTTGGCAGGCAAGTGCCGTCCGTCAAAAACTAGAATTGGTTTAATGTTGTATGACAGCAGCATGTTAACATACTTCATACAATAATTGACATACCTGAAACAGAACATAAGAATTAGCTTGGATGAGAATCTTACATAATTTACACCTTATCTTCACAGGTGAAGTCATTAAGTTATTGGATGCTACCAACGATGGCAGGCAGAACGACTTATTCCAAGAATTTATCCAACAAACAAACAGACAAATTTGAGCTCAGTCCACAGTCACAATTCAATACTCAATATTTAGGGATCAGCAAAACTAAACACACAGTTGCTTCCAGACTTATTTTTGTCATTATTTATTACTGTTCCCAACACCTGTTTCATTTAGACTGAATTCAACTGGATTGTAAATTTTAGGGTTTGCTTTTGGAGAAAAAAAGTGTCACCTAATTAGTTAAGTTGAGCCTACAAACCTTTCCAGTAAAATCTGTATTAAAATTGACCTTCAATATTTAAGAATTAATCCTCTCCAACGGCTCTCCTAGATAAGGGAGGCAATCCAATCATTACCCGGACAGGATATCCATTAAAGTAAATTATTCAATGTCATAGGAGTTTGACAAAGGTATCCTATTTTCAACGCTAAATATAGGCCAAACTATAGACATGAACTGGGTTATGGCCTAGGTTGTACATAACTTAACATTTAACAACTGAACACTACATATTTGACCTTAACTTTCTTTATAAAATAATCCTGCCTTACTAGAGTAATAGGCCGAAACACATATATTGCACAGAGGGAGACTAACTTGTAGTTTATCTTGGCCCAAGTTGCATCTTGAAGAGGTGGACAAAACACCAGTTATTATTGTTATTTATTACCAATTTGATAGAGTTCCTTCTAGACCTCGGCTGATTACTAGGCTAATAAGAAGTCACATAATATTATGTATTCCATGATTGTTGTCAATTCTCTTTATTCTTGGAACTTTAATCTTGCTCTGCTTGATTTAAATTAGAGTAGCCTACCGGTACCTACCTAACTATAAGACATCTTAGTTATGTTTAATTAGCCAATACTCACACATCAGTTTTATCTCCTCTTGCTAGTTTGTCAGCACAACTAAAAGCTCCTTTGTGCAGCCAGCAATAAGCATCAATTGCTACAGTGCAGCCGGCAAACTGTGAGATGCTAACTGGTCTCGAAGACTTTTCAAGAAATGGTATCAAGCCTTGAATACCCATATTGAGTTTTCCTGAACAAAGAAATAAGCTTATTGTTTTACAGTACGATATGAAATACCAATCAAATCAATACTTAAGTACATGTATCATAAGTTAACCTTGATATGAAAATGAAGAAAGTGTAACTTCCCTACCCTTAGTCTACAGTAGGTTATTTCTGTGATAAGTTAATGTGGTAACGATAATGTTATAACAACAACTAGGCCTAAGCTAACACATGCACAGGATATAAGAAGATATAAGTTTGTGAAGTGCAAACCTTATGCTAGGCCTAATAATTTAGTACCGGTACTGATAGGCTGACTACATAAGGTTACGAGGCTCAGATTTTGAAAAGTAAGGCTTGACTACAACATTCTTTATCAAATAAATAGTGATATATTTTTTTTCGTTTAAGCCAATGAGCTAGGGATGTACTTAGGCCTACCCTGCTTAAGTTATAGGCATCAATTTTCTAAGTGGTAACTTACCTAATAGCCTAAACGGCTGCTCTTTACTTGACGTCCTACACTCATTCGATTAATTTTTTCGATTCGATATTTTCATTTGATTGTTTCATTCGATATATCGTTTGGTTAGTTAGGTTAGGTTAACCTTACCTAACTAACCAAACGATATATCGAATGAAGCAATCGATTAATCGATATATCGATCGATATTTTCATTCGAATGAGTGTAGGACGTCAAGTAAAGTGCAGCCGCCTAAAATTAGGCCTAGATCCTAAACAAATTTGACTTAATAAGTTAAAGTAATTTGCATGAGTAAGTTAGGTCTGGACACAAAGGAAAAACATTAGGTTAGCCATAATCTTTCAGCAGAGAAAGTTTAAAACTGCCTCTCGAAATGAACAATTATGTGAGCAAGCATCCAATAGGCTAAGTTAGACCATGGTTTCACTCCACACAAAAGACTGAAGCTAACTTAGCTGCTAGCTAGAGTTCACCATCCATATCCATTTGATTAAAAGTGGACCTAAATAAATAAATAAATACTTTATTGTCTTGAAAATATAAATTGTATCGACAGTACAATTAGGTACCTATGCTAGCCTATTAAATAAAGCTTTTTAAATTTTGATGCATTTTTCATTGAAGTCTTCAAGTAGATTGGATTTTCAGTAAGGATTTGTTTTAATTTTCTTTTGTATTCTTTTAATTTCTAGTCTATTTCTCAAATTTGGTTAAAGATTGGGCTATTAGTTTCCTATAAGTATGACAGTTTCCTTCTCTCAAACAGGAAATTAATCGGACAATACTTTGAGGTTTACTAATTTAACTCTAATCACAACAAAAATGTTGAACAAATTAGGTACTTACAACGACACTAAAATAGACTTTAGTTAAGGCTATTCAAAGTTTTCACATTGATTGCTATTCATTTGGTGCACCAACACGACAAAGGATAGATTCGAAGAACGACATTTTGTATTATTATTATTTTAGATTTAGACAGACTTTGACATCGTCGTGTATTCGTCTCCATCAACATTTCCCGCCATACTGCAAATTTATTTTCACCGCCCTTTAAAATAAAGTTAGTCTAAGCATAGGCATTGATTATGGATCTACCAAAGAGATACTGGGAGTATATAAATGGCACAGTATTTGCACTGCTTGGGGTTCATATTGTTATAGCTTATGTCATAGACTAACCAACACTAATAGACTATTTATAATTCTCATCCCGTTGTAAAATTTGAAGCAAGTTTCTCCTGACTAGTTCATGTTGGTGACACTGGGTGCTAGTGTCGACGAGACTTTGTTTCTATTATCTTAGGGATAATTTCATGATTTGTGATTTACTGTTTGTTTGAGTCAACTTGGCTCTTAGTTTTGTAACAATGTTACATAACTAAGAGCCAAGTTGACTCATTGTTTATGATTAGATCGTTTAATTTGGTTAAACAAGTTTTTAAAACAACTAAAGTAACAAAAAAAATATATATATATAATTAAAAACACGATCCCAGCGGTTCCAGACGGAGCCAACAATAATATTGTCTTCATCTGATCCATTAGTATGACCAGACCGTCAGCCGTGCTGCGGGGCTGCGGTTACCATAGGTCCTGGCGCACACCGCTATGAGTGCCACGTAGTTACGGCGTATGCGCTACGTAATTACACGGCGCACCCAGCGGTGTGCGCCAGAAGCTATGGTAACCGCAGCACGACTGACAGTCTAATATTATTTTTGTCTATGGTTTTATCTATGCTTATGTATACTACGATATAGTAGTTTACGCAACGATTGCGTAAGATAGTGTTAACTACACGAGTAGGCAATTTTACTTCTTCTCTCTGAATCCTTGAATCTCATTGGTCCGTTACTCATGTTGTTATGAATAAAACTATGCTGTTATGAAAATAAACCATCCTGTGTAATGACAAACTTTTCAATTCTAAGAACTGAACTGGCGACTGAAAAAAAAAAACGGTCGTAGGTAAAAGTGTTATAGCTATTTATAAAAAAATCTCTATAAGTATTCTAAATAACATTTTCTCCCTGGAAAATACCTTAGCACTTTTCCATCAACTTTTTATCACTGAACTGTAAATTCCCTAAGGTCAATATTTTGGGGAAATAGCGCAGGATGCGCTCCTTCTCCCCCCATTTGAAGGAAAAGTGCGGTCTTATAAGGGGGATAGTCGGAGTTAGTGAGTTGGCCTCCAGCAACCCTACCTCCCAGCATCACCTTCCCCTAGCTACTGGATGGAAATGTTGAGTCCCACCCCCACTACAATTTCCTTTTCCTCCGGTACTGTTCGGGTGCGGGGGCATGCTGAGTCTCCAGCGCCCTTTCTTTGCGTTATTCTGAGGTAGGGTGTGTTGACATCGCACCGGCTTGGCAGGTGGTTGAGGTGGTAGCTTTTTTATTTAGCTTTCCCTTAGCTGTGCCCCTAGTTGTTCTTTGGATTGGCACCCGTCCATTATCTTTTCAGCGGATTATGGGGCGACTAGACTGTGAACCGATTTATTCATAACATTTGCTCAGTTCTAATAAAAACAAAAATGTTTTTAGAGCCTGCTTTAATTTATTACCCGCACTTAAAGTATTATGATAAACAATCATCGTAATTATTTTGTATCGACAATTAGTTAATTATTCTACTCTATTTTTTTATATTTTGATTGACTGTATTTTTTGGTATAATATAATCAGAAAAGTATAATAAGAAGTACTAAGCAATAATTTTAACAAAAAAGACATTTTTTTGTTCTAGCTTTGATGTAGTCTGAAAAATTAAGGATTGCCTTTTTGAGACCTTCCCTTTATTCTGTCCTTGTAATAAACTGCAAATAAATCTACCGTTGTTAATATCCTATTACAGTATTAGATTTAATTAATTAACTGAATAAATATGCAGTCTGGTGTCAACGTCAAACAAAGCCCAGATTGGTTCTGGTAAAGCGTTTGTTTGCATGAAACAATCCTGTTTGTTGTTTGCTGATCGCAACCTCATGCGGGATATTTTCAAACATATTGGCTACTGAATGATCGATTCTCTTTGAAAGCGGCGTTTCAAAATATTTGTTTTAAATATGCTTCGGTAGCCAAGAAATGCTACAGTTTCTTTAACTATTTTAATTAAAAAAATATAGGTACACTAAAACTAGTGTGTGCATGATATTTGATAATATAGGTAACATTCGTGTTCGTCAAGTCCAGGATATGTGCTTAGCACACATCGACGAAGCCTAAGGCCAGATTGGACGTTTAGCATAGAGAATAGGTATAAAACACATATATGAATTTAAATTAGTCTATGCTATTTTCGGATCGTTGTTAATTAAAGTGGGAGTCATGGTCATACTTTAGAGACTTTCAAACTGTTAACTCACTTGGTACCTGGTTTTAATGCAGAGCTAATCATAACCATCGATGTATACATCGATGATCATAACTACCCAAAATAAACGTAATATATTTCACAAAAATGAAACATGGAGTCCCATTACCATTTTTCCTCGTAGTGGATTACAGGATAACGTAGTAAATTAACGTTAAGTCAATATTGGTTTAACGATTAAATTATTTGTATGTACACATTTTTTAGCTATATTTAATGAAAACTTAGTACCTAATTGCAGTAGACAATTTCTCCGCTCATAAACCCAAAGACCAGTGTACTGACCATAAGACTGGTTACTCGATGTTTAAGAAACTTTACGGATAACAATTCCTTTGTAAAAGTAATCTTTGTTAAACCCCGTTCCCCACTAATGGCAAAACTCTTTATTCCTTTTAATGGACCATTTACAAGTTATCAGCTAAACTTGGACACTGAAAATCCCATTATGTTGCTCAGGCAACTCTAATGCGGATTATCAGGGTTTACCACACAAAATAAACAAAAAACCCTTGACGACTTATAATTTTACCAGTTTAACTGTTAAATTTAATGATTTTTTATTTAAAAATATGTAAATGTACAGTCTTTAAACAATTTTATGACAACTCATTCATCTTACACTGATCATTTTCTTACTACTTTGTAATAAGTTTAACATTATGGTTTAAAATGTAAATCTTAAAAATATTTAAGGTATGCGTACATTTATGCAATATGATGTACAATTTTGACTATCATGACTTATTTACCAAAAATAATCAATGAACAATATTTTTTTGATTTAAAATGCTGTTCATTTTATTTTTTATAACTTTCTCAAAAGATCTAGATTTCTAAAAATTGATGATTTAAGAAGAAATGTCAAGCACACTCTTATAATATTTATCTTAAAGATTTTCTACCAAACGACTTCAAGATCAAAAAGAACGAATAATAAATAATTGAGAAATCACAATTTTTACGTCTTATTTGGTCTTGACTGGACAACTGCAAGTTGTGATTTTCGGTTATTTATTAATTAATCTTTCTGAACCTCGTGTCGCTTGAAAGAAAATTAAAAGTGTTCTTGATATTTTTGAATATAATCAGCTATTTTTGGTAATTCAACCTATACAAATGAAAATAAAAATGAAGCCGCTATTTGAAAAAAAATGTGCTATGACTTTTTGCGTAAATATTTGATTACTTCTTAAAACGTATACATCTATATGATAATATTTATATGAATAAAAATTAATCCCTTTTTTGATGGTATTCCATAACTAACTCGAGAACGAGTGCACCAAATTGGATGATTCTTTTTTGTTGTGTTCCATAGTGCCAGGGGAAGGTTTTATGTAAGGAAATTTATAACCGTACAACCGTTATTTAGTAATTTGATTTTAAAAATTCCAAAATAAATTGCGTTTACATTAGCACTGGATGACAATTTTTTCATTAAACTGTGGGATGCAATAACATGTGTTAAAAAACACGTGTTAATTTTCAACCAAAAAGTGAGTGAGCGTAGCAAACCAACTTCAACCAGGACGTGATTGAGCGATGCGAACGAGCTCATCTTGAAAATGGAGCATTTTACATAAAACAACATTAGGACGACGTCTGTCGGGCCAGCTAGTACTACTAATATTATGAGAAAGTTTGGATGTATGTATAGATGTTTGTGACAAGTAAACGCGTAAAATACTGGTCGGATTGGGATGAAATTCGGGGTGATGATAGCTTACATTCCCGATTAACATATAGGAATACTGTTATCCCAAAACCCCTTTCAGGCTCCACCCCAGTGGCTCTGGAGTTTTCCATGTTAACCTTATGGGTATTCACATTTAAAAGTAATTAAAAAAAATTGTCAGCTGATTCGACCAAACAAGTTGGTTCTATGATATTCAATAGCATTAAAAAGTTATAAGGCTTACCAACAGGGTGCAGCACTACAGTATTAAATTTTTTGCTTTTTATAAGGTTGGTATAGAAATGATTCCGTCCACCTCTAAACCAAATTTTTCCCGTGTGGAGTTGCTAGTCTCCTATCGGGCGCCTCCCCAGGTGGCGGATAGGGGAAGGCTCGTCAGACATGGCGGGCACTGGGAATGGACCCCCAGGGTGGACCAAAACTAGCACAGTATAGATCGTGTCAATTACATTGGCAAGCGGGATGCGTATGTGCAAAATTACCCTTCTTCCACCACTGTCGATTTTGTTATTTTGTACAGCCATCTCAACAATTAATTATGTAATGTATCCTTGGTGCAATTCTCAGTGTTGGGAACCTTTCCACCATTCCACCCACACACCATCCTAACTGACACGATCTATAGCTGTTAGATGTATACCAATTTGATTCAATTTTAACCTTATTGTACCAAGCATAGCTGGAATAATTTTATTTATAACATTTATATATATAGTTCCTTTGTAAGTTTAATATTATTCTTAGTACAGCCGTAATAAGCAAATCGGTTGGTATTCAGAAGAATTTATACATAATTAAAAAAAAAAGAATTTTGTAGTAAAATCTCACAATGCAAAGACTTATTTTTTTTAAAATAATTTATATAGAAGATATTAT